GTCTCCGCAGCCCCGCATGCACCAGAGGGCAGTGCGCCCGCTGGTCTCGAGGGCAGCCCCTCAAGCCCTGCCTGGACCCCACGGGTGGCCAGGGGCTGGGGGCGTGTCCTTGGCGTTCCTCCAAACCTTGTTTTCTTGGCCTGTAGTGAGAGGAGGAAGCTCATAAGAGCTGGATGAGCGCCCACCGAGCAAGTCCGCCGGAGAAGTGGATCAGCGAAGAGAAACCAAGAAGATTCAACGAAGATCAGGGAGATCACTGTGAGAGTGGGGACGTTCCCGGGGCCGGTCAGAGGGTGGGGTCCCGAAGGCCGTGGTCAGAGGGGGGTCCGGCCGTGGGGTCAGAGCGGGGGCGTCCGGCCGTGGGGTTCAGGGGGGGGCGTCCCTGGGAGTTGCGTGGGGTCATGGGGGGGCGTCCGGGGCCGTGGATCAGGGGGCGCCCGGGCGTGGTAGAGGGCGTCCAGGGCGTGGGTCAGGGGTCCCGAGGCCGTGGGTGTTCAGGGGGGTCCGGGGCCGTGGGGTCAGGGGTCCGGCCGTGGTCGAGGGGCGTCCCGGGCGTGGGGCGAGGGCGTCCCGGCCGTAGGGTCAGGAGGGGTGCCGTCCCGGGCCGGTGCAGAGGGCCGTGGGGTCAGGGCGTCCCTGGGCCGTGGGCAGAGGCCGTGGGGTCAGAGGGGGGGCGTCCGGGGCCGCGGGGTCAGAGGGGGGGTGTCCCTTGGGCCGTGGGTCAGAGGGGCGTCCCCGGGGCTGGTGGGCAGGAGGTGCCGTGGGGGTCATGAGGAGGTCCCGGCTGAGAGAGGTGTGGGGGTCAGATTAGGGGGGCGTCCCGGGGCCGTGGGCAGAGGGCCGTGGGGTCAGAGGGGGGCGTCCCGGGGCCGTGGGCAGGGGCTGTGGGTCAGAGGGGGGCGTCCCGGGGCCGTGGGCAGAGCCGTGGTAGTCAGAGGGGGCGTCCCGGGGCTGTGCAGAGGGGCCGTGGGTCAGAGGGGGGCGTCCCGGGCCGTGGGCAGAGGGCTGTGGGTCAGAGGGGGGGCGTCCCGGAGGCCCTGGTCAGAGGGCGATGGGGTCAGAGTCGGGTGGGTCCCGGGCCGTGGCAGAGGGCCCGTGGGGTCAGAGGGGTCCCGACTTCTTGGTTTTCTCGCTGATCCACTTCTCCCGGCGGACCTTCTCGGTGGCGCTCATCAGCTCTTTGAGCTTCCTAATCTCCTACAGGCAAGAAAACAGGTTGGGAGGGAACGCCAAGGACACGCCCCCAGCCCCTGGGCCACCGTGGGGGTCCAGGCAGGTGAGGGCTGCCCTCGAGACAGCGGGCGGCACTGCCCTCTGGGTGCATGCGGGGCTGCGGAGAGCCCGGCCACCCTGCCCAGGGCTGGAGAAACGGGGGCAGGCTCTGGCTCGCAGAGGCCCCACCCAGAGAAGGGGTGCTGACCCGCCAGCCCATGCTGACCAGCGGTCCTCAACTCTGGCTGTTAGCCACCGTCACAGGGGCACCCCCACTCTGGAGCCTGGGCTTGGGGACCGTTGCTACCCGTGCTAGGGGAGGCGCCGCCAGGCAGGCCGAGGCCACGGAACTGCCTTTTAGTCGGCAGCTGCTGGCACAGCAGGAGTGTGGTGGTGGTGTCAGCGCTCGGCTGACACAAGGTAGAGAGAGCAGGTCCCGCCACCCTGGGACGGGAGCTGGCCGGTGGGCTTGGGCTCCCGGGGTCACGCCCACGGTGCTGTGGCCGGTGGGTGCCATGTGTGCACGGGGAGGGGCTCACGCACGTCCCTCGGCCCCACCCCAGGGCCTGGCGCCGGGCAGCTGGAGGGGAGGGTGACAGGGCTCGGCGCTGCAGTGGCCCCGGGACTCTGCTGCTCACCCTGCTCCTGGGGCCCTGGTACCCCGAGTCCTGCCCTGCCCGCGAGAGCCCCAGGGCTGGGGAGCCGGGCAGGAGGGGCAGGGCTCACCAGCTCGTGCTGCTCCTGCGCCCGGGCCACGCGCGCGCGGCACCGCTGGTCCTCCTGCTTCAGCTCGGCCAGCACGGCCTCGCACTTCTCACTCAGGACCTTCTTGTCTTCGATCAGCTGACGGGAGCCGGGAGGGGAGGTCGCTGCGCTGCTGCGGGGACCCCTCCAGCCTCCAGGGCCAGCCCAGCAGAGCACCCCTCCCCAGGGGCCCCCCATCCTGGGTCTGCGGATGGACCCTGGGGGCGGGAGGGCGTCTGTGCAAACGTGGACACAGGGCTGCGGCCACCACTCAGTCCTCCACCCGGGGGACTCTGCGAGTCAGAGAGGCCCAGTGGGGAGGATGGCCTCAGCCCTCCAGCAGTGACTACGTCAGGGTCTTCCCGGGATGGGGGTCGCACGATCATTCCCCATCACCCGGCCCTGGAGGGCCCTGCCGAGGGGGGTCAGGGCCACAGCGGCCTCAGGTTTGGACGCACCTATGACAACCACCATGCAGCAGCCGAGGCCCCCGCCTCACCTCCGACCCCAGAGCCAGAGCTCCCTCCAGAGAGGGACCCGGCTGGATGCCCCCACCGCCCGAACTCGGGAGGCCCTGGCTGCCCCAGCAATCCCTGCGGACCAGGCGTGGCTTCCCCAGGGCACGGGAAGGGCTTGGACACCTCACACGGGGTCACCTGGCTCCCCTGGTGACCCCAATGGGGTGTGCGCTGCCCACTGCGCTGTGGCCGGCCACCCGCCATGCTGAGCCAGTCCAGGGCAGGACACGCGCACAGCCGGGTCCCTCTGCCTGCACACCCAGACCAGCGCCGCCCTGCAGCCGGCACTTCAGCAACCCGGCCCGACCCGGCTCTAGAGCCCGATCTGTCCCTCCAGGGGCAGGTCACCTGGTCGATGAAGGCCAGGTGTCGCTGGATGGTGGCCTCGTAGTGCGTTTTCTGCCGCTGCAGCTGCCGGCTCAGCTCCTTCTCCGTCTCCTTGACCCTGCGGGCGGTGAGGTCCCGCTGCTGCGCCTGCGGGGGCGGTGGGAGGGCTGGCACCGGCAAGCCCGGGCTGCTCGGGGCAGGCTGTGGCCGCGGGGACGACGCGCAGCGTTACCAGGGCTCTCTGCAGCAGCGCCATGGCTTGTCTCTTCTCCTCTACCTCCAGCTTCAGCCGCATCATGGACGTGCTCACCTCGGACGCCGGCTCTAGGTGCCCCCGCCCTGCCTCCAGCACCGGGCCCTGCAGGGCACAGCTGAGCGTCACAGGACGGGGAGGTGACACCCGGCTACCGGCCCCTGCTCAGAGGGAGGGGTGGTGCACGCAGGGCCTGGCGGCCAGGTGGGGGCAGCCGCTCACACAGGGGCAGGGCCAGCGGCCTTGGGGGTGAGGAAAGTTACAAAAGACCATTAAAAAGTCATATCCAGGCCGGGCGCGGTGGCTCACGCCTGTAATCCCAGCTCTCTGGGAGGCCAAGGCGGGTGGATTGCTCCAGGTCAGGAGTTCGAAACCAGCCTGAGCAAGAGTGAGACCCCGTCTCTACTAAAAAAATAGAAAGAAATTAATTGGCCAACTAAAAAAACATAGAAAGAAATCACGCCAGGCATGGTGGTGGGCAATGCCTTGTAGTCCAGCTAACTTGGGGAGGGCCTGAGGCAGGAGGTTAATTGCTGAGCCCAGGACGTTTGAGGTTGCTGTGAAGCTAGGCCTGACGCCCAGCCGGCACCTCCACCTCTAGCCTGAGGCAACAAAGTGGCGAAGAGCTCTGTCTCAACCAAAAAAAAATCATATGTACTTCTGGCTCTCCTGCCCCCGCCCCGATAAAATCCACGTCAGCACCGCACTCAGCATGCTGCTGAGAAACTGCTGTCCTCTCAGCCTGGCCCACGGGTGCCCCAGGGACTGCCAGGGACGGCTCCAGGCAGAGGCCTCCAGGCTGCCCACCCTGAGGGCCCTGCCCCACCCCTCCCCGTCCAGGAAGCCGAGGAGGGGGGGCACTGCCACAGACAGGGGGAGGGACCACCCCGTGGCGATGGAGGGGGCCCGAGGTGAGGGACCACCCCTTCGGGTGCAGGGGAACACACAGAACACACCACCCTCCCTGCGGGGGGAAACAAGACAACTCGACCCCACACAGGGTTGAGAGGGGAAAGCGGGAAAAAAAAAGGCTGGGGGACGGGGGCCCGAGGCCCGAGGGACCCCCCCCTGCAGGGTGGCGGGGGGGAATGTGGGGGCCATGGGGGGCCAAGGAAGAGGCACACCATCGCTGCGGGGGGCCTGCAGTCCATCCCCTCCCCCGTGGCAGGAAGGCTCATGATGCTCTGCAGCTTGGCCTCCGAGAGCAGAGTCTCGTCCTCAGGGGGGCTGGGCGCTGCCGCTGAGTTTCCGGAACTTCTCCAGGTTGTCGGCTGTCAGAGAGCTGGCGTCATCTTCCTGTGGGACAAGGGTCTGGCATTGGGGGCTGTCCGGGCAGCGCAAGGACCCGGGGTCCCCGAGGCAGGGGAGGGTGGGGCCTGGTTCCCGAAGGAAGGGCGCTTGGGCTGCCCCAGATGCTCGGGGGCATCGCCCGGGGGCATCGCCTGGGGGCCCTGCGGGCAGAGAGGAGGGGCCACCGCCCAGCGTGCTGTCCCCCCCACCCCGTTATTGAGGGTCCTGTCCTCAGGCAGAGGGGACAGCAGGGCCGGCAGGCTCCCGACTAAGACAGGATCCTGGTGGCACCGTGTTCCCCTCTGACCCCAGAGGCCCCACGCGCCGTGTGGATGGCGGTCACCTCGCCGGCCCAGGCGCGTCTGCCCCTGCGGCGGGCCCTGGGCTGGGCCAGTGGCTCCGGCTCCTCCTCCAGCAGCCGCAGCGTGCGCAGCAGCTCGTCCAGCGGTGCCCTGCGCCCGGGCCTGCCGGGGGCCGCCGCTTCCAGGTCCTCCCTGGCCGCATCCTGGGAGCGAGTGTCCTACATCAGGGGCGCAGGGAGAGAGGCTGGCAGGGCTGCTGGTGGCGGAGGGCCCTGCAGGGGCTGACCCGGGCGCCCTCCCCGGAGCCACCGAGGGCTCGCCCCAAGTGCCCCTCTGGGAAGCCAGGCAGGCAGAGCCGCCCGGCACCGCGGGGGCCTGCTGTCGCCCGGCCCTCCTCTGTGGACGAGGACACGGCCCCACGGCCGGCATCTGCGAGAACCCAATGGGGTTCCAGAGCGTATCCGGACACCCTGTCCAGCAGGGGCCCCTCACAGGCCATCACCTTGCGCCAGGGCAACGCGACACCTCCTGAGCAGCCTTTCGGGGGGCACAAGTGACCCCCATGGCTGGGGAGGGGACAGGAAAAGGCAGGCTCAGGCCACCCTGGCACAGACATGCCCCTCGAAGCTGCGATGCGGGGGTGTGCCCAGACCTGCAGCCCGTCCTCCGGAGACTTCGGGGGCGCTTGGGGGCGATCGGAGGTGGGCGAGTGGGGCTCCTCGGGGCCCGAGGTTTGGACGCCAGGACCTGCAGGCGGAGCACAGGGCGTCCCCCAGGCAGTGAACCTGGAGGTGCCCTTGGGAAGGAAGAAGCCCACAAGGACCTCCCGGAGCAGAGGAGGTCTGAGGAGCCCCGGCCTCCCCAGGGTGTGAGGCTGAAGGGGTGGGTGCAGCCCAGACCTCTGGGTCTTCCGCCCTGAAGGGTGTCCTGGACCCCGGACTGTTGGCTTGCCAAGGTCTCAGTGCCCTCATTAAGTAACTGGGCAGGAGCAGAGGCAGTCGAGGCCCCCAACTCCCCGGGAGAAGCCACCAAGCCCGGCAGCAGCCAAGGCAATGTCCACAGAGAGGGGACCTCCTTCCTGGATGCGGCTCATCCCATGGTGGGGGGGGGACCCTTGGGGGAGGGGTGTGCATGGGGTGGGGCCGGGCAGGCCGGGCCCCCGGGGAGGGCAGACGAGAGCCACACTCACCAGCGAGAGCCACACTCACCAGCGTTGTTGGCCTTGGGGGCCGGGCAGTGGGATCGGCCTGGCGTTGGGGGCGGGGCCTCAACAGGCCGCAGCGTCCCCGCCGCAAGGGTCTCCCTGGGCAGCCCCAGCTCAGCTGACTTCTGCGCCCGTTTCTGCTGCAGCTCCTGCCGTGGGAGCACCTCTGAGCAGCGTCCCTGGGGGAGGACGGCGCCCTCCTCCTCCCCCAGCCAAGCTGCCCTGACGCTCAATGTCCAGGGGCCTGGGTGGCCCCGGGCGGCAGAGCCACGCCCGGCGTTGGGCTCAGGCCCACAGTGCTGCTGTGGTCCCCGCGCAGGTCCCCTGGGTACCTGGATGGCGGCTCGCCTGGCCTGGCGAGCCTTTTCCTCTCGGGCCTTCCTCCTCGCCGCCTCCTTCTGCAGGTGCAGGTCCAGGAAGGTCCCCTCACCCTGCCGCTGCTGCTGCTCCTGCCAGGGAAGCCAGAGCCACGGCGGGCTATAAATCCGGAAGACGGAGTCCCTCAGCCCAGACTGGAGCTTTCCACACCACGCACACCATGCCCAGAACCCACGGAGTCCACAGGGCAGGTGGGGGAGGCGGGACCCCACCGGAGCTCCGCAGAGGACGAGCCCCCCCCCTCCCCCCGCAGGCACCAGGAACCTGCTCGGAGGGCAGCCCTCGGCCCTTCAGCTGGATGCACCTGGCAGGTGTTTCCTGACACCTGGACCCTAGTAAAAGTCACAATGAGGACCGCCCTGTCCATCGAGGGGACCTAGGGTCAGACAGGACGCCGGTCCCTCGTGGGGTATGTGCCTATGGGGCGATTCCGCTTGTCCCAGAGACTCTGCCTGCACAAGGTTCGGAGCCCTGGCATCTGGGGCCAGAGCCTCGGGGGGAGCCTGGTGCGGCTCAGGCACCCGCACTGACCTCTCGCTTGGACCCGAGCAGCTGCTCCAGCCTGGCCGCTCCCGCTCGGCGCCGCTGTGCCTGGCGGCGGTACCAGCGCTGGATGGTGACAGCGGCCTGGTTCACCTGGCGGATGAACCTGCCCGGAGAGCAGGGCTCAGGGCCAGGGCCTGGCCCCCCGCACACCCCACACCCGCAGACCCAGGGCCTGGACACACGGAGCCACTTCCATGTGGCCGTGACGGCACCAGCCATCAAACCCCAAACCCTCCCTCCTGGGGAGCTGCCCAGAGGAAGAACCGTCTGTCCACGCAGACTTGTGGTGAAATTGCCCGAAAGCGGGGACAACGCAGATGCCCTTTAACTGGCCGCAAGGGAGGCTGCGGAACGTCCCACGAGCAAAAGCAACTCGCCAGCGACTCATGCCACAGCCTGCGGCGCCCCGTGGAGGGGTCCGAGAAAAGGCAGAGCTGTGGGAGCAGGCTGGGGGTGCCGCATAGGGGTGCTCAAAGGAGCTCAAGGGAGTCTTGGTACTGGAATGTTCTGTCCGCTGCATCTGTATATACGTTTGTCAAAACTCACCAAACTGTATACTTAAGATGGGTGCCTTTTATTACATATAAATTATACTCAATAAAGCTGATTAAACAAACAAACCTTAACCTTGGCCCAGGGGACCCCATGCAATTCACTAGGCAAAGGACCTAAGGGAGCCCAGGACGTGAGCAGCCGCCTGCCTCGAGGGCCCCCCGTTTCCCGAGGGCCCTGTTTCCCGAGGGCCTGCTCCTGCAGCGGCCTGCGCGGGGCTGCCCCTCCTGGTCTCCCGCCCGGGCCCCGTCCAGAGCCAGGCCCGCAGCCCCGCCCACCGCGCACCCCACGCCAGGCCCACGGAGGCGCCCAGGACTTTCCCAACCAGGAAATGCTGTCCCCTGGCTGGGGGTCCCGCCCACGAAGGGGCCGGCCGGAGGTGGTTTTGGTTTTTTTCAGTTTTATACCTTCTCTCCCCTCCATGTTTTTTTTAATAAACACTTTTCCTGAGGTTTCATTTAAGTACTATAAAATCCACCCAGTTTTTAGTGCACAAGGCAATGATTTTTAGCAAATCTAGAGTTGTGCAGCCAGGGGCACAGTCCAATTCTAGAACGTTCCATCACCCACAAATGAGCCCTCTCTTGCTGTCCCCTGGCCCCACATCAGCCCTGGGCAACCTGCGCTCCACCTGTGTCCCTGTGCACTTGCCTGCTCTTGGCGTCTCACATAAATGGAGCCCCACAGCAAGGTTGGTCTGTTTCTCCTCCACATTTTAAAACAAGTATCAAGAGGAAACCTCTATCGCTGGAGTCGCAGCCCCAGGCCCTACCGCCCTTCCCGCCCCGAGCCCCGTACTCAGGCCCTTCAAGCCCAGACTGGCCCTGCCCAGGGCTGTCACCTCTCGGCCTCCTCCTCGGTCACCTCCCTCCGCCTGAGCAGGCCTGCGGCGTCCCCGGCGTTGCTCCGGGCCTCGAGGTTGGTGCTGGGGACGTTCTTCTGTAGCTTCGCGAGGCTGCTGCCCTCCTTGCCCTCCCGGGTGGCTGCCTTGACGATGTTGCTGACGGGAAAGAAAAGCCACCGCCTAGGGCGCCCCGTCCAGAGCCACCCGGACTCGGAGTCAAGGAGCTGCCGGCAGCCGAGGGGCACTGGCAGGTGGCACTTGCAGGTGCTGGGGACACCGGCACCCCGAGAAGACCCCACCTGCTGGCAGCCGAGGCCAATGGGCTCTTTGGGTTTAAAAAAGCTCTCATTAAAATTGTACTTAAAAAAATTTCTCAAAAGTCACAGGAGTCTCCAGTTTGACCCTGCCAGTGACTCAAGAAACCCCGAGGGCCATCCTGCCCCTGAGCAGGGCCACGCCGCGCAGTGGGGGCTCCTCTGCTCAGTTCAGCCAACCCTGCCCAGACGCCTTCCTGCTCTGGACGCAGCCGGCGGGCTCCTCGGTGTGACCCACCCTGGGTGTGAGCCCCGGGCTCGCCTGCTGGTTTCCCCGCAGCCAGGAAGCTCCCGGCCCGCACAGCGCAGAGAACGGGCACTGAGGCCCGCAGGCCTGCCGCACCGTCCATCCTGGTGGTTTTATGTCACTGGCCGCGTGCCCTGCCCTGCCCTGCCAGACCCCGTCCCGGCCCTGACCGGCCTTACTTGAGGGAGGGCGCTGCCTGGTTGGAGCTCTTCACGGGGGGCCCCTTCTCCGCGGGGCTGTGGCGGTTGTGTACCATGGTGGTGACGCAGTTGCCCACGGCGCCCTTGTTGCTCCTGCCGGAGAGACAGGAGGGTCGGGCCTGGGGAGGCGGACGCCCGAGTCGTGCTCACGGCACACGCTGGGCGTGCACGGGGCCCCGTGCTTGCTATGTGCTCAGAGGGCCTGATCCGAGGGTCCCCGAGGGCCCCGCTACGGCCAGTGCCCTGGCGGTGGAGCTGTTCTCAGCACTGGGGAAGCTCGATCCGGGGGCTCCCGTGGAGCAGGGGCCAGAACCCCAGGCACGGACACTGGACGTGCCCATGACGGGAGAAGCGGCTCGGACCATGGTCACCTTCCAGAGCAGACGCCTGTCCTCACCCGCCCCAGCCAGGCTCCACCCCGCCCTCCGTGCACAGAGAGGCTGCGCGTGGCCAGCAGGGCCTGCACACACCCAGGACACCAACCTCCCCTGCTCTGCGCGAAGCAGTCGAAAGTTGAACCCGGATGGAACCCCAAGGCAAGGAGCGGGGGATTCCTCTCCGGAGAAACTCAGCAGCCGCAGAGAAAGGTCCCTAGCCCTGACAGGTGGGACTGCAACGCAACAGCCTGGGCCCTGCCCAGTCAGCCCGAAGTGGACCCACCAGGCAACCTCAGGCCTCCCTTTTAACCGGCATTAGCAGACCCTGGAGGAAAGGCCGGTGAGGGGAAGGCCAGAGCCCACACAGACCTCGCGTGGCACGAATCTCTCGCCACGGCCAACTCGGAGCTGCTCGGGAGCGAGCAGCAGGAGCACACGTTTGGAAACGTGTTCCGGAAAACACTAGCAGAAACTGCCTGCAGAGGCTGCCCAGGGACGCAGCAGTCCGGCAGGGAGGGGCGGGGCCTCGCCAGTTTCCATTTAGCTCGCGGTGCCGTCTGACGCCTTACTGCGTGCATGTATCCCCTCGAGGGATACTAAAATTAAAGTTTGACTTAAATTCTCACGTTGACAGCGAGAATTCTTCCTGTGCCAACCCTGGCGAGTGTCGTGCAGCATCTCCCCCGAAACCGCTCCTCTGATGACAGCGCTAGATGCTGCGGGCCCCGGCCCCCTCCCGCCGGCTGCTCCAGGGAGGCCACGCCCGAGGACGCGCCGTCCTTGACAGCTCAGAGTGGCCGTCTTGCGCCACTTCTCCAGGGCCCCGCAGACCACTGCCCCACCGACAGAGGCCCCTCCCCGGACCCTGCCTTCCTGACATCACTCCCAACAGGCTTCGGCCTGCAAGTCCTCGCTGAGCACGGCTCCAGCAAGTGGCCTGAGCAGCCCTGATGCAGACTGGCCCTCGGCAGGTGGCAGGTGGGTTCAGGGCCTGTGGTAACACACTTCCCACCTCCAGAGACACGCGGTGCCCCAAAACTCAAGAACCCGCGTGAGCCTTCAAGAGTCACCTAGGGGCCGGGCGAGGTGGCTCACGCCTGTAATCCTAGCACTCTGGGGGGCCGAGGCGGGACGATCGCTCAAGGTCAGGAGTTCGAAACCAGCCTGAGCAAGAGCGAAACCCCATCTCTGCTAAAAACAAATAGAAAGAAATTAATTGGCCAACTAAAAATATACAGAAAAAATTAGCCAGGCATGGGGGCGCATGCCTGTAGTCCCAGCTACTCAGGAGGCTGAGGCAGGAGGATCCCTTGAGCCCAAGAGTTTGAGGTTGCTGTGAGCTAGGCTGACGCCACGGCACTCACTCTAGCCCAGGCAACAGACTCTGTCTCCAAAAAAAAAGAGTCACCTGGGGCCCCAATGAGCCCCCCACCAGGCTGAAATTCCAAGAGCAACTCCCGTCCTTCCTTAGTCGTCTCCGAGGGTCCCTCCCTCACATGTGCAACAAACCTTGGGCCTCCCCGCTCTGCCTTGGGGAGAGAAAGCCGTGAGTTTGCTCTTTCAGTCGTTCCACAGCACCGTGGCCCGGCCAGGAGCCCACAGACAGGCACAGTCCCCGCCCCAGGAGCTCCCAGCCTGTGGCCATCCGGGTACCTGCTGCGGGTCATACCTGTTGTTGGCGGTGAAGCTGGGGGCCAGGACCACGGCGCACTCTTTCCTCCGTGGGCCCACCGCCGAGTCCGCGCTGCAGCCCTGGGTGCCGGACGGCACGGCGAAGGCCCTGGGCTGGCCATCCTGCCGGGCACACAGATGCCACCTCAGCCCAACCCACCACCACATGCCGGACGCTGAGCACTGTCCCCGCCGGACGCTGTCTCACCCACAAAGGAGAGGAGCACCCCGACTTCCCATGCATGAGGCTGACGGGGCGCCCCACGGGCCGCAGTGTGAAGATCAAAGCCCGCTACACTGACGGCGGGTACGCCCTCCCTGCAGCCACCGCCCCTCTTCCAAGGGCAGTGAGAACAAAGAAAGCAGCCACCAGCAACCCACAGGGAGACCAAGACACGTGGCCGCCTGGCCCGACCTTACCAGGACGTTCCACGTGGCTCCCTTCTCGCTGGGCGCTTTGCTCAGGCCGGCCGGCCTCGCTCTCCCATCGGGGCTGCCCTCGAAGAGCGCCAGGAAGTCGCTGGGCTCCGCCGGCCTGTGTCCCAGAGAGGACGGTGGGTAAGGAGGGTCAGGCGGCCAGGAAGCCGACCCCAGGAGCAGCCCTGGGGACGCAGACGGGGCCGAGACACCAGCCAGGGACTCTGACTCCAAGCCCACAGCTTAGAGCGCCGACCCTCAGCCCTGATCTGACGCCCGCGCCGGCGGGGGCTGCTGGGCGCAGCGAGGCGGGGGGATTCGGGCGAGTTTCCTGCAGGAGCCTCAGCGAGTTTTATCGGCCGCACTGGTGACAGACTCCTGGGGCCGGGGGCTTTAAGCAGTGTGGCTGCCCGCTGCCACCACCCTGGCACAGCTGGACTGTGTGGCCAGCAGACCCACTGCCACCGGCTGCCCCATGGAGGCCACAGCCACACAAAAAGGCAACCACCCTATTGGCAAGAAACGGGCCCATCGTGAGGAGGAAGTTATTCAGCCGTAAAAAGGAGTGAAGGGCTGCCACTCGCTACAGCACGGACAGACCTCACGCACAGAGGAGGAGCAGACGCGCAGGGCCGGGTACCGCACGGCTGCAGTTACAGGATGGTCCAGACCAGGCCAGTCCGCAGATAGAACTTGGGGTGGGGGTGGCTGCCGGGGCTGGGGGGGGAAACGCAGGGTCTGCTGTGGGTACGGGGTGTTCCCTGGGGTGAGGAAAGTGTTCTAAATCAGTGGTGGTGATGGCACACAGCTCTGTGAGTGCACTACAATCCCTGAATTGTTCCCTATAAAAGGGAGAATTGTGTGCCACGTGAACTGTATCTTACTAAAACTGTCAAAAAAAAGCAACTGAGCTCGGAGCACTTGGCCCTAAGCTGTCTCTGGGCCCTGCCGTGTGGGAAAGCGGCCGGGGTCGGCCGGCCTGTCGGGACGTCCTGCCAGAGCTGCGGCCCAGCAACCCGCGGGCTCCTCGTGGCTCTGGCCGGATCCCTGATTACGTGAGGACGTCTCTTCCCAGGCTGGTCACACTGTCACCGGGACCACCACACCCGTGGCTCGAAGGCTCAGGACCCTGCACAGGCCTCACCCAGCGCTGGGCGGAGACCCTGGATGCCAAGCGCCACGGCAGCAGGCCACGGAGGAGGCTGTGCGGCCACCAGACAGATGCACAGAGGAAACCACAAATCAATCCTCACCTGCAACAAAAACGCAGCCGCGCAAACTAGAAAAGAGGCCTCGTCCTCCACGTGCAAAGGGGGGTCTTGACCCCAAAAGAACCCGGAGAGGGGACGAGAATGCAAAGCAGAGTTACGTAGGAAGAGACGAATTTGTCAATGGGATCACCTACCCAGAAAATGTAAGAGACTTGGCAACCGCAAGGTTTAAGTCCAGCAAGGCCGGCTGGATTCAAGTTCAACGTACAGAGGCCAGGAGCGCTCCCACCACCAGCAGCGACCAAGTAGAAGGAAGACCCCCCCACAACAGCAAGGGCAACAGTGAGCTCGTGGAACGAAATCTAACTGACACCCTGCGAGACCCCTGCAGGGGACAGAACTGCCTAAAGAGAGTGAGTGGCTCCTCCCGGCGCACCAGTTTGTAGCCCTTGAGAGTCAGTATCGCAGTTTAGGGGAAGAGGGCTCACAGGGGTTCAGGCCTGCCACCGTGCTGCTGCCTGTTGCCAACGACAGACTTTGGCACTCAAGGGCAGGTAGAAAGGCCTCAGCTGAAGGACTTGGGGGATCGGGGCCCAGGAGCAAGGGGGCTAGAGGAAGGGCTGACGCAGAGGCAGAAGGGGCCTGGGCCTGGGGGGCGGTGATCTGAATGGACAACGGTTACCTGAGGGCTCTGGGGTTACCCAAGTGGGCCAGGGGTTACCTGGGGGGACTGAGGATTACTGGGGGTGGTGGTTACCTATGGGGGCCAGAAATTACTGGGGAGTCACTAGGGGGTCAGGGCTTACCTGGGGAGGTGGGGCCTACTTGCAGGATAGAGGTTACTGGGGATACTAGGGCAGGGTTACCTGGGGTTGGGGGTCACCTGGGGTGCTGGAGGTGCTGAGGTGGGCTTACCTGGGGGGGCTGGTCTGCAGCTGGCTGACCTGCGTGGTGCTATTGGACCTCCGGAGGTTGTTGATGGCCCGGGAGCCCCCAGGCCCCATGGCCTCCTGCAAAAGGAAGGAAACAGCCAATTAAGCGGCAAAGGTCTCAGACACTCGCCAGTTTGCTCAGCGCCAGGCCAGGCCCTGGGGAAACAGACTTGGAGAACAGAGGGGCGGCCTAGATTCTTGGAGGGACCAGGCAGCCCAAAGGCAGCCAGGGGACAGGGACACAGGGCAGCAGGGCAGCATAAGGGGCTCCGGCATGGCTGCTGAGCCTGGGACAGATCTGCCCTCGAGAGCCCTGCCTGCCTCCCACAAAGTGGGGAGCCCTTCACCCCTGCAGGCAGGAGGGCCCGGAGATAGCTGCTCCCTGGTGCCCCCATTACCCAGGAGTCACTGGGCGGCTGGGCTGCTCTGCCCACAGCCCCAAAGACAGCAGAACTCCCAGCCCCCGGGCAGGTGGGACACACTGAGGGTGGCTCTGTGGGGTCACCGCAGGGACCGAGGAGACGCAACCACAGCAGGTGCTGGAGGGGGAGGGGCGAGGACAGGGCGTCTGCAGCTCACTTCGGAACTGCTCGGCAGAAAGGTACGGAAATGCAAGGTGGAGCGGAAGCCCGGCAAGTGTCAGCAGTCAGAGGTCGTGGGGATGGTATTTAGGTGAACTCTACACTAGTCTTTCAACTCTTCTGTAGGCTTATAAATCCCCCAAATTAAATCTTTTGGGGGAAAGAGCTCACAGTCCAGTAGGAAATGGCCTGGGAATCCCCGTCCCGAGGCCTCCAGCCTTCCACACTGGACCAGGAAGACAGATCTACACACCGTCAGATTTCTCTATCTGGTGTTTTTTGAGACAGGCTCTCGCTCTGTCGCCCAGGCTGGAGAGCAGTGACTCAATCACAGCTCACTGCAGCCTTGAACTCCTGGGCTCAAGCGATCCTCTTGCCTCGGCCTCCCAAAGAGCTAGGACCACAGGTGCCACCACGCACAGCTGTCTCAAATTTAATTTTGCATTTGAATCCTTAAGCTAAGACAAATAACCCAACCAGAATAAGACAAAAACAAAACCAGGAAACCAACCGTATACATGGAATCCCACTATGGACTCCTAACCATCTGTGATGAGCATTTCTCTATGTCACAAAATCATTTTCTTTTTTTTTTGAGACAGAGTCTCACTCTGTTGCCTGGGTTAGAGTGAGTGCCGTGGCATCAGCCTAGCTCACAGCAACCTCAAGCTCCTGGGCTCAAGCAATCCTCCTGCCTCAGCCTCCCGAGTAGGTGGGACTACAGGCATGCGCCACCATGCCCGGCCTGGCTAATTTTTTCTATATATTTTTAGTTGTCCAATTAGTTTCTTTCTATTTTTAGTAGAGATGGGGTCTTGCTCTTGCTCAGGCTGATTTCAAACTCCTGACCTTGAGTGATCCTTCCATCTCAGCCTCCCAGAGTGCTAGGATTACAGGTGTGAGCCACCGCACCCAGCCCCAAATCATTTTCTAAAACAGGGAAACAGAAGGCACATGGCGGTGTGGGGCAGGGGGTGCAGACCAGCCTGGCAAGGGCGTAACTGACTGGGGGCCAGGCAAAGCCCCTGAGAAACCCAGGGGCCTGAAATCACGCAAGTCTGGAGAACACCCTCATTTCTGGGGAAAGGACTCTAGGCCCTGGTCCTATTTTCCGGACCTGCTCAATAGGAAAGGCAGCCGACGGACCCCACTCTGGGGACATCCAGGCTCAGTGCCAGTTCGCATTAAAATCCCAGCTGGGCTGTGCTCTAGGAGCCCCAAGGTGAGGACGGCAGGCAAGGCGTGGGGGAGAGTGTGCCGGCGTCCGCAGGCTCCAAGGCAGAGAGCTGAGAAGGGGCGGCAGTGCAGGGAAGCAGATCCGAGAGAGGCCTGTGCCCTTCTAAGAAAAACGTAGTGACTGTGTGAAGCCTCAGCACAGCGCCGGCCAGATGGGAGTACTCGGGAGCGCTCCTCCTCTTCCTTGCAGAGCTCTGGCTGGCCGGTGAGAACAGGGGTGACCGAGGGCTAAGCGCAGAACGGCCACGCGGTTCTGGGGGAGGGCAGGGCGGGGCACCGAGCAGAAGCTGCCCATGTGGCAGGGAATTTAGCCCTGCCCAAAGAGAGCCCTGGCCTTTGTCCTTGGCTCCTGGGAGGTGACCTCTAAGCTCCTGGATGTCCTGCCCAGTGAGAGCTCAGAGGTGAGGAAGCCGCTATCCCGTGCCCTGGCCAGCGGAGGCCAGCAGAGGCCAGCAGAAGGTAGGCGGGGGGTGGACAGAGCCCGACCGATAAAGGTCTTCCTGAGGCAGCTGGGCTGTCAAATCTGATACTACCTCACATGGACACTGACCACCCACAGGGGCATCTGGGCTCTGGCTGCAGGAAGGGAGGTTACGGCTGAGCAGGGAGGAGGCTTGGTGGGCCCTGTGGTGACGGAGTCTTTATAGACGTGCGAGCACACGATAGCTAATACAATGCACATTGTCCTGCTCTGTCAGCTGAGAAGACCCAGAAATAATCACACCCCAGCATCGCCCCACAAAAAACAGGAGAAAGAGAATCCTAAACCGTGTGCACAGGCGTGAAGCTGCCAAAACAAACGCTCCCCGGGAATCCCAATGAGACCTGGGGGGGAGGGGGAGCAGAACAGGCGGCCGAGAGGACAGGGCCTGGGCATAACCAGAACTCGGGGCCCACGCTGCACCCTGGCTGGGCGGTGGCACTTTTGCTGTCACGTCCTGAGCTTCCACTACATGCTAGGCAGGAGGCATGCAGGGGCGGGGCCGATCTGGACCGAGCGAGGAAGTGGGCAGCTGGAACATTCCAACAGAGGACTGATCTTTCTCCGCTGCACGCTGTGGGAGGGGTGACAGTGCTGGCTCAGGGAAGGAGGGTGTGATTGCTGACACTTGCTTTGGTCCCGCACTCGGGAAGCAGAAAGGATGGGGGTGCTGGTCAGAGCCCTGGTCAGCTGGATGTAGCCACCCGAGAGCTGAACCTCTGCTTTCCCTGCCTCTGGGAAAGCCCCGGTCTCTATGGCACCGTGCGGTCCCCATGCCTCTGTGAGGTCTCCATGCCACTGTGCACTCTCTACACCGCCGTGCGGTCTCTCGGTCTCCATGCCCCCATGCGGTCCCTGGGTGGCCCTCATGCCGCCGTGCTGGCTCTACACCACCGTCAGCTACAACTTCAGGCACACCTCCCCAGCCCCACACCCCCTATCCAAGCTCAGGGCTTTGGGAGCAACGGGGGAGTCGGGGCAGGAGGAGGGTGGACCAGGGACTCAGGAGCTGGAATGGGGGGCAGGGGCTCAGGGACGGCGCCAGCCCGAGCCTGCTATTCCCCGTTAGAACAGCACGGCGTATCTTTAGACAGATGCTGGCCATGTTGACACACTAAGACATCCCAGGCCCCTGCCCCGCTGGCCCCAAGCTTTGGGAACTTGCCTGGACCAAGAGTCCTCTCCCAGCCTTGCGGTCCATGCCCCAGAATTCAGCTGGGACTCTGGAGGGGTCCCCAGCCCTCACCCCCAGCTCCGAGGGCAGACACAGGAACAGCTGTGTCAGGCAGAAGGGAGAGCTCCGAGCCTGCTGTCCACTGTGGAAGCCTGGCCTGGACCTGCCCGGGGTTCCTTGGAGAAGCCTGGACAGCCCTCCGGCCCCACGGGGGCCTCAGGCAGGGAGACACAGATCCGCTCCAGCATCCAAGCCAAGGCCCTCCGGGACCCCATTCTGGAAGCTCAGGCGGACTTAGGTCAGGCACTACCCCGACCCCATGGGGCAACTCGATTCCTCCCTCCCCAGAGGCTGGCCCTGGCTGCTCACAGCCCCCATCAGGGACTGCTCCCCTCCCCCCCCAGAGGGGGTAGGAAAGTCACCCTTAGCCCAAAGCTCCAGCACTGTCCTGCTGCCACCCACCCACCCAGGTTTCTCCAAGGCTGCCAGGGGCTCGTCAGCTCCCGGACAGGCCAACCTTGTTTCCTGAGGATTCAACAGATCCAAAGGGCAGTGGCCCAGCAGAGACGAGGCCAGTGCTGGAAGGATCTAGCTGACCTGGGCTCGACCTCCTTTCAAGTCAGCTCCTGGGTCTGTAAGGCCCGAGTGCTTCCCGCGCCCTGGGATGGCCACAGGGAGCGGACGTGTCCACGGGAGTGAGGCTCTAGCTGTACCCGGGTCAGATGCCACTGGTGACAGCCCTCCCAGAGGTGGGGCCCAGCACTCACCAGCACCTTCCTCCTCTGCTCGCTGCCCGTGACCACGGAGACAGAGCGGGCCAGGGGCTTGGCGGCAGAGGCGCTGCTGGGGCGCCGGGACACAGGTGGAGGGACGCCCGTCAGACTCAAGTCCCCGCCTTCTGGGCCGCCCCCGAGGACACTGGCGCTGGCCCGGGATCCTTTCATGGTGGGCGAGGCGGACCCTGCACAGGGAGGCGAGAGATGCGATGAGACGCTGGTGGGGAGCCGCAGCCCCTGCACCCCCACCTCTTGCCAAGCCTTGGCCCGCCCAGGACACCCGGGTCCACCGGGCACAAAACTCCCAGGGAAGCCTGGTCCCATGCGCCCTCTTAGCTGGGTGGCAGCCCCTCAACAGGAGCTGGCGGGGCTGTTCTATACCCAGCGCCAACGTGAGGCAGAGCAGGAGGGGCGCTGTGCCTTGCGGGCATAAGCCGGCCCCACAACGGCCCGGGCAGTAGGTGGTCAAGGGGTGAGCCCGGCCCTGTCATCCACCATCCCCCCCAACCCTGGGAAAGTTGCTCCACCTGTTGGAGCCCCATTTTCTTCATCTGTGAAATCATTTGGAAAGAGTTGTCACCAGGCTCAGACAGGATGACCATGAGGCTGGCACATGGCAACTGCTCACAGATGTGAGTTATCCTGGCAGGATTTGGTCTGAAAAGTTCCCAGTAATGAAACCTGCTGCATCTGTCCGGCCTCACGGCCCCAGGCTCATTCAGCCACGGGACCGCGTCTGTGTCCTCGGACCTCGGGAACAGCCACGTGCTCCTGACACACAGCAGCTGCTCTCTTGTTCCCAGGGTTCCCTGCCTGGACTCCTGGTGCTGGCCACCCTCGAAGCCTCCCTGGCCAGCCAGCTCCCTGACCTGAGTCGAGGTCCCCTGGGCTCAGCCCAGCCTCCCTCCTCCATCCACCCTCTCACCTGGGGGACCACCTCCTGCCGTCCCACCCACTGACTCTTCCTCCTGTCTCTACCTGGCCAGCGCCTGAGCTGATCTTTCTGAACCGGTCTCAGCTCACCTTACGCCCCTGCTGGAAACCCTCCTGCAGCTTCCCAGGCAGGGAGAATAAAATCCAAACATCTGACTCTGCTCTCTCGGGGACCCCCATGCTCTGCTCCAGCCAAAGGGCCTCCCTGGCATCCCTCGAACTCCGGCAGTGCCCTGCCAGCACAGCCACCGCACCTGCAGGCTTCCCCGCCTCGAGCCCCTTCCCAAGTCTCAGAGGCCCCTCCCTTCCCTCAGAGAGGCCTGCCCTGACCATCCTTCACCTTATCTGGCTCTAATTTTCTTCACATTGTCACACAAGGCTGGTGTATGTGCTGGGTCACCACCGGTAGGACAGGTAGCCCCGGCACCTGACAGGTGGAAGGCACTCAGCAGGTGCATTGGACTAACGGAGGAATAGCATGGGCTGCCGCTGGGGACAGGAGACCAACACTGAGAAGTACATCCTTAATGTTCTGGAGCCCCTGCCGCCGAGGCCTCTGGGGGCCAGTGAGCACACAATCCACCACCCCAGGTCAGTGCTGTGCCTCCTTCACCCCGACACCCCACAGTGGGCCCACCAGGACCCCTGGCCTGGGGAGCCAGACACCCCTATCCTCTGGAGCCTGTCCCTGCCACTGGTCAGGTCAGCGTCCTCAGTTATGCATTTCTGGTTGTGCAGGTGAGACTGAACACCCTCCTCACCTCAGGGCACTGGCAGCCCTAGCTACACCAGCGCTGGCCCTGGAAGCTGTGCCCTGCTCTCCCAGCCACACGTGCGCAGGCAGGGCTCTGGGATGGTAAACACAGCCTCTCCATGGAAACCTCCAGGCCATATCAAGGGAGGCTGGGAGGCCAACCACACCTTGGATAAAAAGGTGTCCCTCCCAGGACCTGAAGGGGCAGAGGGGCAGGTAGGACCATGGGCACGACCCCAGGCAGAGGCCAAGACCCGGGCACAGCGGCACCTCCCCATCTCAGGGGTTGCCGTGGGGCTGAGGGCAGCCAGACCTGAGACTTGGGGACTGGAGTCCAGATTGTCCTCTGGAGGGACTGCAGGAGGGACCCACTTTCAGAAACCAGACCATCCTTACCTGTAGGAGCTAGACCCTCTCGCCTGGGCTGGATGCCCGCACCTGCCCGGCCCCTCTCACCTGCGCTGCCCCCCTCACCTGCGCAGGCCCCCCTCACCTGCGCGGTCCCCCTCACCTGCGCGGGTCTCCCTCACCTGCGCGGTCCCCCTCACTCGCGTGAGCCCCCCTCACCTGCGCGGTCCCCCTCACCCGCGCGGGCCCCCCCAACCTCCACGGGCCCCCCTCACCTGCGCGGGCCCCCCTCACCCGCGCGGGTCCCCCTCACCTGCGCGGGCCGGGTGCGCGGAGCCTGCAAACTCAGCCGACGGGGCACGGTTGCGTCGCCAGCAGAGCTGGTACACGTGGGGCTCAAGACTCGGGCCTGTGACCTGGCGCCCCACGGGCCCCGGCGCTGCCCGAGGCCCAGCGACAATGAAGCGGCCGGCCCCGCTGAGCGGCGGCCGCAGCTAGCAACCAGGCTGGCACCGCCTCCGCTGTCCGTCACGCCGGCCCGCCCTGCCTGCGCGCGCCGCTTCCTATTGGCCCTCCAGCCTACGGCTCAGGCCGTCCCGCGAGCGCATTGGGCCGCCCTGCTGTCCTTCGGGAGGTTCAAGTGTGGGAGGAGCGGCGGGGAGCCGGGGGCCGCGACCGCAGCGGGCGGCCGATTGGACGCGGCTGGAAAGGGGCGGGGCCTCTGGGGCGGGACCAAGCGCGGCGGGGGCAAGGGCATGGCGGGTGTGGGCGGGGCCGAAGTGTGGGCGGGGCGCGCTGGGCGACAGGAGAGCGACAAGGGGCGCCCGGCTGGAGGGGGCCGGGCTTCCGGCGGCTCCACCGCCCGCCGCGCCACTTCCCCACTTCCCGCCATTCTGGTCGCCCCTCGCCTGGCCCTGTGCGGGGCCGAGCGCGCAGTCGCCGTCGCCGTCGGGGACCGCGTCCCTGGCGTCCGCGGTGTCCGCGGTGAAGGCGCGGGGTCGGGACTGGCGTTCGGCGGCCGCGCGGGAAGCGGCGGGCGAGAGCGCGGGTCGGGTCGGGTCGGGTCGGTCCCGGCGCGCACCTGGAGCGGGGTCGCCGGCGGAGGCGGGGACGCGTTTGCCGTGTGAGAAACCCACGGTCCCCGGACGGCGTCGGCCGATCCCGCGGTCCCGCGTGGTCCTGGGGCCGCGTCCGCTCGCGTCTCTGCCCACTCTGAAGTTGCTCTGGTTTCTGTGGTTTCCTTTTTTTATTTTTTTGAGTCAGAGTCTCACTGTGTTGTCCAGGCTAGAGTGAGTGCCATGGCATCCGCCTAGCTCACAGCAACCTCAAACTCCTGGGCTCAAGCAATCCTCCTGCCTCAGCCTCCTGAGTAGCTGGGACTACAGGCATTCGCCACCATGCCCGGCTAATTTATATATATGTATATATATTAGTTGGCCAATTAATTTCTTTCTACTTATAGTAGAGACGGGGTCTCGCTCTTGCTCAGGCTGGTTTCGAACTCCTGACCTGGAGCAATCCGCCCGCCTGGGCCTCCCAGAGTGCTAGGATTGCAGGATTGCAGGCTTGAGCCACCGCGCCTGGCCCCAAACATAAGTTTTTAACTTTGATAAAGTCCAACTTTTTCCTTCATGGTTTGTGTTTTTTGTATCTCGGACCTGAAGCCGTTGCCTAACCCAGTGGTAGAACATTTTCTCCTTTGTTTTCTTCTGGAAGTTTTGTAGTTTTAGGGTTCGCATTTAGGTCTCCGGTTCACTTTACTTTTTGTGTAAGGTGTGCGGGGCGGGCCAGGTTCTTTTTGTATTTTGGAGGGTACTGAGGTCCACCTGTGGCACCATTGTGGAAAGGCCACCCTTTCTTCATCGAATGGCCTTTGTAAGAAGGCGACTGACCTTTGTGTGGTTCTATTTCTGAGCCGTCTCCACTGGTCGGTTGATCTGTGTCTAACTTTTCACCAATACCACCGTCTCGATTAGTGCAGCTTTATGGCGAATCTTGAAGGCAGCGAATCTGTGAGTCCTCTTTGATCTTCTTCAAAATTACCTTGACTTTTCCTATAAACTTTAATATCAGCTTGTCGCTAACTAAAAAGAAATCCAGCTGGGATTTTGACAGGGATTAGGTTAAATATGTAGATCTGCAATTTGGGAATAATTGCCGTCTTTATCTGTGAACATGGTATATCTCCACATTTACTTAGGTTGTCATTGTTTCTTTCAACAGTGTTTTGTGGTTTTCAGTATATGCATCCTGCAGGTATTTTTAAAGATTTATACCCTAATGAATTCATTTTTTGAAGTGCCACTGTAAATGGTAGTGTGTTGTTTTGTTTTGTTTTTAAAGACAGGGCTTTGCTCTGTCGCCCAGGCTGGAACTTCCCGCAAACTCCTGAGCGGGAGCAGTCCTCTCACCTCAGCCTCACACGGTACTGGGATTACAGCCGCGAGCCACCTTGCCCAGCCATAACAGTTTTCAATACTTTGATTTCCAATTGTTTATTGTTAGTATCTAAAAATATACTTGATGTTAGTGTATTTACCCTGTAGCCTATGTCCTTGCTAAACTATTAGGAACATTTTTGTACATTCCATGGGATTGTCTACAAGTCATGTTGTCTGAACAGTAAGTTTTATTTGTTTCTTTCTCATGTGTTTACCTTTTACATTTTTTCTTGCTTTATGGAACTGGCCAGGGTTTCCAGGATAATGCGGAACACTGGTGTCAGAGTGGACCTTGTTGCCTTGTTCCCAGTCTTCGGGGGGGAAGGTCTGGGTCCTCCTCCGTCAAGCATGATGTTAGCTGAGGGGTTTCTGCTCCTCAACACAAAAAGAAGTTCGCTTACGTTTCTAGTTTGTCAAGTTTGTTTTTGTCATAAATGATTGCCGAATTTACTGTCTCTTGCTTTTTCTGAATAAAATAATCAGGTGACTTTTTTTTTCTTTATTCTGTTAATATGCTAAATAAACTATATTGATTTTCACATGTTGAAACGGTCTTGCACTCCTGGGGTATGTTCGACTTACAGCGATGTGTTATCCTTTTACATGTTATAGGATGCATTTTGCTAATATTTTGTTGAGGACTTTTGCCTCTATGTCCATGAAGGACATTGGTCTGTAGTTTTCTAAACCAAGTGAACATGGAACATCCACCAACATAGACTATAGTCTGGGCCATAAAATAAGCTTTAACAAAAGTTTGAAAACTTTATCAACATACTTGAAGTCATTCACAGTATGTTCTCTGACTATATCCGAATGGTGATAACAGAACCGTACACCTTTAAGTAACACATTGAACAAAATGAAGTCTCAAGGGAAATTAGAAAATATTTTGAACACAATAAAAATAAAAATATACCAAGATTCATATGATGCAGATAGAGCAGTGTTCAGTGGAAAATTTATAGGGTTAAAATGCTTACATTAGAAAATAATAAACGTGTCAAATCAACAACCTAAGCTTCCACCTTAAGAAACTGGAAAAATAAAAATGAACCCAAAGTAGAAGGAATATATTAAAAAAGAGCAGAAATCAATGACATAGAATAACAGAAAAATGGTAGAAAAAAACAAAACCTAAAGTTGGTTCTTTGAAGAAATCACTAACATTAATAAACTGCTAGTCAGACTGACCAAGAAAACGAGAAAACAAACAAATATCAACATTAGGAATGAAAGAAAGAATATTATTAGAGATCCTATAGATATTAAAAAGATAATACCCAGCACTCTGGGAGGCCAAGGCAGGATTGCTTGAGTTCAGGAGTTTGAGACCAGCCTGAGCTAGAACGAGACTCCATCTCTACTAAAAACAGAAAGATTAGCTGGGTGTGATGGCGCCTGTAGTCGCAGGTACTCGGGAGGCTGAGGCAGGAGGATCGGTTGAGCCCAGGAGTTTGAGGTTGCTGTGAGCTAGGCTGATGCCACTGCACTCTACCCAGGGCAAGAGAGCGAGACTCTGTCTCAGATAAATAAATAATTAAAAAAATAATGCTACAGAAAACTGTACGGTCATAAATTTGGCAAGTTATACAAAATGGACCAATTCTTTGAAAGGTATGAACTACTGAAACTTACTTACGAAGAGAAAGATAACCAAAATAGTCCATTATCTATTTAAGAAATCAGATTTCAAAGCTGAAAATGCTGTAGTCAATTGAGCAGGGCTTGGTGGCATGTACCTGTGGTCCCAGCCACTTGGGAAGCCGAGGTGGGAGCATCGCTTGCAGCCAGCAGCCTGAGACCAGCCTGGGCAGCACACAGAGACACCGTCTCAAAAAATAAATATTTAAAAAAAAAAGGTTAACTGCAAGGGTATTACCGCTGATGGCACCACTGGGCAGTTCTACCAAACATTCAATGAAGAAATAATGCCTGTCCCTAATTTGAAGAAAGAAATCATCTGCATGTGCCCCTTATTGATGGTATTTTCATTAAAATGCACAGACACAAAAGGAGGCAAGTGAGAGACCTGCGGCGTGGCCCAGCCAGTGTAAACAGTAGTGTTTATTCGAACCCACACACGGCTCCGGGCTGTCTCTGCCCTTAGATGCTGGAATCAGCACTTGGGGGCCCAAGGCCAGGCCTGCTGGGAGCTGCCGTGGCAGAGGGGACAGTGGGCGTCCAGACGCAGCACACAGGGTGGACGCTGATCACGGCCACAGGCCGGACCCCTTGAGCCACAGGCGAAAGCCCTGCCTCGCCAGCACCCGGCCTCCCCCCAGGGAGGGGAGCAGAGTGGGAACCGAGGAGCTGTCCCCAGGTCCTCATCAGCACCCGGGTTCCGGAGGGCCAGGCAGGCTGGGGGCCTGGGACCCCGAGGCCAGCAAGTTGAAGGCCCTGCCACCAGCCTGTCCTCTGCTGCAGGAATCAAATCAAAACAGCCAGCCTCTGGCAAAGGAGATGAGGGAAACTGAGGTAGCCCTGGGGTCTTCCTCTCAGGTCACGTTGCCTGGAGTCCGCGGCAGCCCCAGCCAAGGGCCTCGCTGGAAGCGCAGCAGCTGCCGGCCGGGGCGGAGACCCCCAGGGCCAGGCCACACGGTCACACATTCAAGAACGCAAAAGCCGATGGCTCCGGCTCTTTGGCTGCCGTCCTCTGTGCTGCCGTCCGGGGGCCCTGGGGGTCCAGGCAGGACACCTCTGCAGCAGCCCCGGCCCCCACCGGGCGGGGGCGGGCCACCAGCTCCATGCCGGCAAACAAGGAGTCTTGGCTCCACGGGCAGCTGCCCGGGCCTCCCCCGGGGGTGTCTGTGCCCCCCGGGTCCCGCTCAGGTCTGGGCCCCCGCTCTCGGGAGCCGGCCAGTCCCGTCTGGGCCGCGCTGGCATCTCCAGGGGCTGGGAGGGGGGCGGCGTCCGGGGGTAGGGGTGGGAGCAGGGCTGAACTCAGAGGCTGGAGGACGACGCGGGCCCCCGCGAGAGGCACGGCTTCGGCCAGCAGGTCGGACGGGCCTGCGAGGGGGGCTGCGGGGCCGGGCCCGGCGGGGGGCCTCTGGGCAGGGGGCAGCTGTCCACAGGAGGCTTCAAAGTGCCTCAGGATCTGGAAGAGGAAGGGAAGGGTCAGCGAGGCCTGTGCGTCCTGAGAAGCGTGCGGGACAGGGCCGGCCCTCCCCAGGGGCCGACCTAGTGCCAGGCCCGGACGATGCGGGACAGGTGACTGAGGACCCGTCTCAGCCACAGAGAGCGGGAAGAACGAAGCCGGGATGCCAGCAGGCAGAAGAAGGGTGCCAAGGCCCGGCTGGGCGAGAGGCCTCCCTGGCAACGTGAAGCCTTGGGGGAGGTGCGCTCGGATGAACAGAGCCGTCTCTGCCCTCTGGGAGACGGGGGCCTGGGAGTGGGCATGTGCCGCCTCACAGAGAGAACTGCACGTGCAGCCAAGGAGGGCTTCCTGGAGGAGGAAGAGGAGGCAAATACAGCATGGAGCCACCCCCAGGGCGGGGCAGGTATCAAGAGGGACCCAGCTTGGGGAGCCCCAGGAGCAGGAAGAGGCTGGGCCCCAGGAGTTTGTGGGGTGGCAGGAGGAAGTCAGGAAGTGAGGACCGGAGCTGGGGCAGGCAAGAACCCTGACTGCTGCCCCTTCTGCCCCCTGGGCAGCACGGGACGGGCCAGGGACCTGGACTCTGGACTCAGGAGTCAGGAAAGGGCTGACCAAGGGCCAGGCAGGGCTAGGAAGGGCGTGGGGCATGTCCGTCCGGTGCTCCCTCGCCCCGGGTGCCTGTGGCCCTGCTGCCCACCTTGGTGGCCTTGTTGGTCACAGGTCCAGGGCTGCCCGCGCTGAGCTCCTGCAGCCGCGGCCGGCAGAGGAGGAGGATGTGCTCCTGGGGGAGCAGGTCGGCACCCCCGAGGGAGGCGATGGCACTCAGTGCTCTCTGTGGGGTGACGGGAGGGACATCAGGCGCCACCCACGGGGCAGCACGGGCTCCACCTGGGGCCATCTGGCCTTCGCCCTCCCTCCTCTTCCCCTCGCTCAGGACCCAGGTCTGTGAGCGACCAGCCCCACCACAGCCCTGTCCTCACCCACTTCCCTCCCAGCTCCCAGGGCAGCTGGAAGGAGCGGCCCGGCGCCAACAAGGCCAGAGAGACGCTCGTTCCTACACACAGCCCGCCTGCACGTGCACACGCATGGAGACTCACTCACATACACATGCACATGCACACACGTATGTGCACACAGGCCTGCACATGCAGGCACACACATGGGTATGTGCACACAGGCACACGTAGGTACAGACACAGGCACACGTGCACACAAAGGCACGTGCATACAGGTACACAAGCATGTACACACAGGTACATACGGGTACACACAGGCATGTGCACATAGGTTCACACAGGCACACACAGGCCCGTGCGCACACAGGGACACACAGGCACACATGAGCACGTGCACACGGCGCAGGGGCACACACAGGCACCAGCCCTCCCGCCCCCACGCCCCCTCACCATCTGTGTGCACTCGCTGGTTCCGCCCAGGAGGCGGATCAGCAGCTCCAGCACGGCCTCACAGTTGAGCAGCCCACACCTGCACAAAGGGGACACCTGGGTGGCGGGTGGTGGCCTGTTCCCTCCTCCCTCGCCCAGGGCAGGGAAGAGCTGGTGGCCGGGTGGGCGAGCAGGCTCACTCTTTGATGAAGTGCTGCGCCTCCTCGCGGCTCAGGAAGGCACACGGCCCCTGGGTCACCGTCCTCACCAGGTTCAGCTCCTGCTGGCAGTCGCTCGATGCCTCGGCCCTGGGGGAGGGCACAGCCAGGTCAGGGCAGGGGGCGGGGGGGGGGATGACTGTGCCACTCTCGGAGGGCAGGGAAGCTTCCTGGAGGTTCCTGCTCACCTGTCTGCCAGCTCGCCTGGCTCCCGGCTGGCCCTCGAGTGGCTGTCACTGCTGGACCGACTGCCTGAGTCCGAGGGCCTGCTCGGGTCACTGTTCTGGGAAGAATTCTGGGAGCTGGGGCCGCTGTCCAGCTCCTCCCAGCCCCCTCCGGCCTGCCCGGGCTGGTGCCTCACAGCTGGAAGCAGAGGCGGCCGGTGAGCCTCTTGGGGTGTCAGGCCAGCCCCTGCCCAGCTCCCCGGGGCCTGACCCGGAGGACAGGGTGGCCCCTTGGCTCCAGCTCCGGGAAACAGTGGGCACCCCATGCACACGCTGCTTTTCTCTCCCTGGACTCCCTCCTGCCGCGTGGGCAGCATCGTCATTTAACCTCCCCCTGGGCCCCAGCAGGTGACAAGAGGGAGTGCTCGCCTCCATACCTCTGGCGCCCAGGGTGGCCCCAGGCAGCGGGTTCCCAGGGTTGGGGTGGCCATGGCTGGCCAGAGGTGTCACAGCAGGCTGGTAGGTGTCCCCCCGTGGCAAGGGCCTCTGGGCACTGAGACTCTCCGTCCCTGGGCGCACGACATTAGCCACCACCTCTGCGGCCTTCTGGATGGTGGAGAGGAAGGCTTTGCCTGCAGAGCCTGCGTCCAGGAGAATGAAGATGGCAGGGCCACTGGGTCCTGCCTCCGCCTGCGTCCTCAGGGCAGGAGGTCCCCGAGGTGGCTCCCTGCTCATCAGGTACAGAGCAGGGCCTCCTGGTGGGGGCCCGGACCTTCCAGAGGCTTCCTGGTGTATTCCACTTCAGCAGCTCCAGGCCCCACGGCCCTGGGCACCCCTGGCTTACAGCAGAGCTATGCCCCGTTCCCCGAGCAAGGGACACCCTAAGGTGCTTGTCCTGAGAAATTAAAAAGGCCTTTAGCCCTTCACTCAGGAGTGTTAGGTCCAGTGCCGGGAAGGGGCCAGCCCTCCTGTGTGAGCTCCCTGCAGAAGGAACCCCAAAACCACAGTGTCCGCAGGGGCCTGTGCACCAGGATGGGCCGGATAGTCTAACAGCAGACGCCTGGAGGCGGCTAATGACCGGCCCCAGGGTACGGCAGAGCTGCGGGCTGAGGTACACGCCTCCCACGCACGCCCCGAGACAGCTCTAGCGGTGCTGAGAGCACGTGTTACGACTCACACATGTGGCCGCTGAGTTGCTTCCCTCACACCCAGGACCCTCTGGGAATGGGGACTGACCCTGCCCCCCGGGCCCAGCCCTGACTTCTTGGCCGGCTTCTCACCTGCCCATCAGACAGAGATGGCCGCACCTGCCTGCCCTCCTCTCGCAGCGGGCAGAGAGCAGCAGTGAGCGCCGTGCCAGGAAGGAGCTGAGCCCACATGGGGCTCAGCAGTTACCAGGCGGGGCAGGGAGGCCCGCCGGCCCCCATGCCCCTGCTCCCTGAGACGTCAGGGCTGCACACGGGCCCCTTCCGCTTACCTGTGTGGCCCCGTTCCTGGCTGTAGCCAAAACCCTGGAGACTACTGTGAGGCCTGCACTGGGAGCCCATGCCTGTGGGGAGCACCTGGCGTCAGCCCCGCCCACCAGCGGCAGAGGCCCAGGATGGGGGACGGGGTACGGGGAGCCCCATGCAGGTGTGGTCCTACCTGCAGGAGGCAAGGCCCCCGGAGGCTGGGAGGGAGGCAGCGGCAACCTGGAATCGGAGAACAAGGTGCTCCCCAAGTCCTAACGGAAGAAGAAGAGGCCCTCAGTGTCCTGCACGCCCGGGCCTGCCGCCCATGTCACGAGGGCTCCACCCGCCAGGCAGCAAGGAGTGGGGCTGGAGCTCCCCCCAGAAACGCTGCCCGTGCCCCGCCCCTCTGTGGCCCCAGAGTGACCCGGGTCCTGGGCTCACCTGGGCGGCTGCCCGCACCTTCTGGTATAAGCTGTTGCCGTGGAGAGGATCCGGGGGCCCTGCCAACGCTGCGGGGGAGGAGGTGACAGGGCAGGTGAGCTGCTGCTGCTGCCCCCCCACCCCGCCCCGCCACCTCCCTCACCCGGCCAGACCCCCTGCAGGACCTGTGGCCCATCTCCGTGGCAACCCTGCCTCTCCCCGGCCACTGCACCAGCACCTGCCTCCCTCCACCCCGTCCCCTCCACCCCAGGCACCGCGACAGGTGCCACGTCCGATCCGAGACCTTCGGAGGCCTCCTGGAGACTGGACGATAGAACCCAAGTTCTGCAGCGGCCCAAATGCGCTGCTCGGGCCAGTCCCCGCCGTCCTAACCCAGTCCCGGCCTGTGCCAGGCTCCCCTCAAAGGGCCCCAGGTGTGGGGCACCAGGTGTCGGTCGCCCTCCAGCTCCTCCTGCCTCAGGGCCTTTGACACGCGAGGGCAGCGCCCGCCACAGCCACGGCCACTCTCCTCATCCTTGCTCCTCTGGGGCCCCTCGACACCCACGAGGTCCAGGCAGGTGCTGCTGTCACCCCACTGCTGTCCCCGCCATGATCCAGGGACGGTAGCCCGGCTCTCGGCTCTGCCTGGGCCCAGCCAAGATGCCTGGATGCCCCCCCCCCGCCCTGTGGCTCCTCATCCCCAAGGGCCACCTGTCCCCATCGCACACGCACCTCCTGTGTGTGCAGGGGACCCCCGTGCCTGTCTCCCACACGTGGTACCCAGCACCAGGTTTCCTCACAGCCCACGAGAAGCCGCCTGGCGTGGGTCACCCGGGCAGTGACGACCATCCGCGCTGGTCTTTGCACAGGGAGACGCTGGTGCCATGAGGGCACCAGCCTGCCCCACCCGCCAGAGCCTGCCGGACCACGTTCCTCCACCTGCTGCGCCCCCACCGAGCAGCTCCCCAAGACCTGCGCCAGCCACAGTGGTGCCTGCCTCCTGGGGACGGGCCCGCCGTGACCCACTGAACGGTGAGAAGAAACATCTCGGCCCAGGAGCCCCGGGAGCAGTTACAATGGGGAGCACATTCCCCAAAGCACCCTGTCCCCCCCGACGCCTAAGTTTTGTGGCGCGCTGCACCTTGGCTCTCCAACACGCCGGGCACTAGGGGCACTGGGCCGTGGTCTATCACGTGGTACCCTGCCTGTCCCTGCCCCGAGCCTCAGGCCTGCCTGCCCTATAGTGGGGCCACAGTGATTTTGGGGTGTGGGGAAGGAGGCCCAGCAGATGGGACATGCTGAGGGGCCCCAATAAGCAAGCAGCAGCGCAAGCCTGACTCTCCGCCCTCCCCGGAGCGTCCCCATCGGGGCGGCTGGGCAGGGGACAGGACAGCTGGGCAGGGGACGGGGAGGCTGGGCAGGGGACGGGAGGGCAGGGGGCCTCTGTCCTAAAGGCCAAGTCCTTCCAGAGACTTGTACCAGGGTGTGTGGGTGGGGTCCAGGGATGGTGCACCCACCACCACCCTCTCTGGCCAAGACTCCCCCAACCTGAGGGGAAGACCTCAGGTCATGTCCCCAAAAGTCCTTGTTAGCTACAGACACAAATGGGTGTTCCATAGCCTGCGGGGAGTGAGGGCCCGGGCTCCACCCTGCACCCACCTGCTGCCTGGACAGACAGCCGGGCCCACCTCTCCTGCGCCTCTCAGCCCCACCCTGCCCTGGCCCCTCACTCTCTCCCAGGCTCTGTGGAGCAGCTGGGAGAGGACAGGGCCGTGGCCTGGGCCTGGGGAGGATGTGCAAACACCCAGCAAGCCGGCCACGTGCCCAGCGCTGGGAACAAGGGGAAAGTCCCCCAGGACAGAGAAACCGGTGATGGCACCCAAGGCAGTAAGTGCAGGGACAGACGCAGCCCAGGGACACCTGGGAGGCACAGAGGACCCAGCGAAGGGAGGTGCTCTGGGGGAGGCCGAGCCGACTGGTGGAGCCAGAGGCGCTTGGCATGCAGGTGCGAGGGGACAGCACAGGAGCCCCGAGGGGTGGTGGGATCAGCAGGGCAGGGCTGCGGGGAGGCGGTGGGGGACTGAGTTCAGGACCCTGCCCAGGCAGAGGGGTCCTGGCTGAAGTCTTCCTTCTCAAGCCCTGCCGGATTCGACATCCTCCTCCCTGCCTTCCATGGCCCGTGGCTCTCTCTAAGCACGCTGCGCTCGCTCCCCATACCTGTGGCCTCCTGGATGAAGGAGGAGTTGCGTTTGAGGATAAGCAGGAAGGACGCGGAGCCGTGGCTGCACAGGTAGAGCAGGATCTTCAGCACCTGGGAGATCGGGCGTCAGTGTGGCCAGCCAGGCCCGACCTGAGACACTCAGGGCACGGCCTAGGGAGCACCCCAGGGGCACCGAGCCACCCACTTCCCCAGAGCCCCACCACCCCCGGGCAGGAGGTGGGGCCTGAACCCCCTGCCGCTCAGGCACTCACCTTGAGCTTCACATGGCCAGAGCTGCTGTCCAGGCGGTTCAGGAGGTATTCCAGCAGGCACTGGCTGCTGCCCAGCGACTCGTGGGAGATTTCTCGGGCTCGGGTTAAGGAAGGAGCAAGCTGACAAAGGCCACGCACCAGGCCAAGCAGCCTTCCCACGGCCATCTGCCCACTCTACTCAAGCTCCCTGCGGGCACCGCCCACAGGCCCTGGTTTCGAAGGTGTTGGGGCTTCTAGGGTCCCCTGGGTGGTGACATGGGTATCACAGCTTTCAGACCCCACCCACCCCATTACTATGATAAAGAAGCTGTAGCTCCACCAGGGCTGGCAGGAGGACCTGCAGGGAGACTCCCAGAACCTTCCGTGCCACCCTGGGGCCCTGCAGCCACTCTTTCCCCAACACAGGGGACGACAAGGAAGGATACTAGCAATCTCTTCAAACAGGTAGCCGGGACACGGGACATCGTCGTCCGATGTTCCCTTCAGGAGAATTGGGAGCTGGAAGGGAACACGTCACCAAAGGTTATGGAGGGACACTTTTGTGCCTCTCTGTTGACATGCTGGCCAGGGAGAGGACTCAGGAGAGAGGGGAACAGTCCTACCAGCTGCAGGCAGCAGGGTGCCCTCTGGCCATGAGGGATGGGCAGCCCCAGAGAAGGGGCAAAAGCAACGGTGGTTGTCCCCGTGGGGGCTGCTCTACTTGGCGGTGTGGCCCCCGCCTCCCTACATGCACGGGGGACGGAGGTGAAGGGCCATGTGGAGCCACCATCCCTATCCCTGCTTATTGACGAGCAGAAGCTTGGTTGAGCCCCTTTCCCGGTAGGGGACCAGGGCAGGTTCCACCTCTCCAGAGTGGGGTCAGCAGCACCCCACAACCACCGGCCTGACGGACCCCGTGTGTGGCTCCACAACAGCCACTGAGTCACGATGTTTGCTTTAGGTTTGCTTGTCAGCACAGACATATTTGTTTACATTACGTGCTTATTAGCATAAAGATGTACCAGTTCATAGCAACGAAAACAGAACATCCGTTCTTTTATCATCCCAGTATCTTGACAGAATATAGGAATTCAAGGGTATCTCAAGTGACAAGCAGGGGGACCGTGCCCAGTGCCCAGCCCGAGCGGCGGCTACCTACTGTCACCAGCAGGTATACAGACGCACACCTGGCGCGCCACCCGAGCTGCGGGCACGCACACTCGCACCCACGGCTCACTACTTGCCAGCCCAGCCCTGAAGAGGGGCGGGGACGTTCGCAGGTTAGTTGAGAACCGCAGAACTCGGCACGTGACTGCGTCCAAACCCAGCGCCCGGAGACCCGACTGCAGCAGCCCGAGGCGCGCCCCGGGACCACCGGGCGCCGGGGTCCAGCCCGGGAAGCTCACGCCAGGCGGCAGCCCCGACCTTTCCCAGAGCATTATCAAAAGCGCTCAGGGCTCTCGTCCTTCTCCGTCCCTCCGAGGTGTCTGTGCCCTCCTGCAACCAGGGGCGTCTGTCCGGGCCCGCGCGGGAAGGACGAGGGTCTCCCAGGCTGTGGCGGACGGAACCCCGACCTGTGCGGCCACCAGCCGCCGCCCCCTGGTCCTGGTCCCCCCTTCCCTCTCGTCGGAAGCGACGAACCGGCGCTGTTCGCCCCACCCGGGTCCGGCCGCGCCCATCACCGCCCGCGCCGCGCTCGGAGGGCCCGGCCGTGGGAGGCGCCGGGCAGCGGGGGCCGGGCCGGGCCGCCTCACTCACCCGCTGCAGGAAGCTCAGGCGGTCCCGCAGCGGCGGCGCGGCCGCCATGGCCCAGAGCAACCCCCGGCCTGCCCCGCTTCCGCCAGGCCGGCGCCCGCCAATCACCGCGCGTGTCTGGCTCCGGCAGCCAATCGCTCGTGGCGGGCCCCGCCCTGAGGTCGGCTTCGTGAACAATTTGAGTCTGAGCCAATCCGAGGCCCCAGGCCAGAGACAGACAAGGTCAACAGCCCATTGTAGGGGGCGAGACCAGGTGAAACCTGGCCAATTAGGAAGCGCAGAAAAGACCGTGAACGGAAGCGCCTGCCTGTCAAGCAGTTGGATACCGGAAGAGGACGGGCCTAAGATGGCGGCGCCCATGGGTGTCAGGAAGAGCCGCTCATGTCGGCGAACAGGGCGGTGTGGGGGCGCGTCCGAAGCCGCCTACGCGCCTTCCCCGAGCAATTGGCGGCCTGCGGGCCCGAGGTGAGGAGCCGCAGGCGGGCCAGTGCCTCAGGACAGGAAGGGCCGCGCAGGTGGTGACCGGGAGGGAGGGCAGTGACCCGGCTCAGGGCCCCCGCGATCCGAGCCCATGTTCCCCGCAGGCCGCGGCGTACGGCAGGTGTGTGCAGGCCTCCACGGCCCCGGGCGGCCGCCTGAGCAAGGACCTCTGCGCGCGGGAGTTCGAGGCCCTGCGGAGCTGCTTCGCCGCCGCGGTAGGTGGGCGCGAGCCCCTTCCCGCCCTTCCCTGCCCGAGCCCCGCCGGGCCCGGTCTCCCTTCTCAGTTGGTTCCGGGCCCCAACGCCTCTTGGGTGCTTTAGGCGCTGGTCGACCAGGCCGCGGACCCACTGACAAGCCCGCGAAACCTCCGCGATCCCGGGGCGTGTCTGCGTGTTTGTATAGCGGGGCCAGAAGGGACTGATGGGGACGTGGACACGAAGATGCTTTGTAAGCGCTGAGACGCTCCTGTGCGGTCTCTAGGGGCGCCTTGCCTGGGGGGACCCCAACACAGGACCGGCAGCGAGCGCCCCAGCACCTCCAGTGTCAACCTCGCCGTGCGTTCCTTCAGCTCAGGCGGGCCCTGCTGTCCTGCCGGGCACCACCGCTTCCCTCTCCCAGCCGCCCCCCTTTCCAGATGATGAGAGGAGAACCTGCTGGAGCAGCAGGCTGTGTGGGGACAGTCGGGGTTCTTGGTCGTGGAGTCAGTTCTGTCTCTAACCCCTTGGGCCTCAAGTCCCTTCTGTTTCCTATCCTTGGCATTTCTGATTAATCAGATGCTATCCCCCAGTCTCGTGAAAATGGCCAAGTCCCATACACAGGTAAAGAATCACAGCGTTGTGTTTGCGCATCTTTATAAAGGCTTTGGAGAAAGCAGGGCTCTTGGAGGCTGGCAGACCCTAGCAGAGGTGGGAAGCCTGGTGGAGCTGGCACGATGGGTGTTCCGGAACAGGACAAGGAGGGTGCTGCCTGCCGATGGGGCTGGTCAGGAAAGCGTGGGCATCACTGGGTTCCACCGTGGGTGCCCCTGATTCGGTGGGTCTGGGTGAGCCACGTTGCCAGTGATTAGCTCTCTTTTGCTGGAGCTGTTGATCTGGAGAATCGGACCGGAGAAAGGGCAATTTGGTAAGAGCTCTGCAGAATTCAGTGAATGCGATGCAGAGCTTCTCATCCCAGGATCATCCTACACAGAGCAGGCTGAGGATGTGGGATGTCCGTTACTGTAGTTCAAGAAGTAAGGTAGTTCACCGGCTCCTTTTCCAGAGGGCTCAGTGAAGTCCTCACACCTTCCTTGCTATGCTTAGCAATCCCTTGTTCCCAGCCTGGATCCAGAGGTGGGTGACTTTTCTTGTTGCTTTTGACTTGCTTCCTGCTTTGTGGCAGTTTCCCAGCTCTGCAGCCCTCCCAGCGGGGAGAGGCAGACAGACAAACCCTCACTTTTGTGATTACTGGTTAGCAACTCTCCTGGGAAAATGTACACTTGAGATAAAGATCAAACACGCCTAGGTCGGTTTTTGTTTTCTCTGCCACCTTTTCTGTGGTTAATGAGGAGTTAACTATTCCAGGCATCTGGCTATTTGTGACCTCACCTACTTGGTACTCCTCTGTGTCTGGATCAAAGAAGGACATCCCAGGCCATGGGTCGCCTGCCCCTCACCTAGTGGGACCTTTCACTCAGTGAGACGAGCTGGGCTTCTCTTTAAAGGTGACCTGGTTGCAGACCCGGGTCTTTGAGGTTTCTCACAAGGAAACTTGTGATGGGCGTTTTATTGGCCTGTGGTCCTGGGTGCTTGTGGGGGCCTGCTTGAGGAGGGTGGGGAGGGCTCGGATTCCTGCTCCATCAGCATCTCCGAACCTCAAAGATTTCCTCTGTAAGAAGGATTTCCTGCTTATCCCTTTACGAGAGTGTGGGACCATGTGGGGACACCGCACAGTATCTGGTGCAGACAGATGGGCGCAGCAACGTGGTCTTGTTGGGAGTCACAGACTGTCTGAAGTCCCTTGTTCTATGGACAGGTGACCCGGAGACCCAGCCCCCACCACACACCAGCACCTAAGCTCTTTGTAAGCTCTTTGGTTGAATGTGGCATTTGATGTCATGGATTTCTTACTTTTGAGCCAAATCTAACTTGGAAACAAGCTATTCAGACAAAACGCTTTATCTTTCAGGCCAAGAAGACCCCGAAGGGAGGCTGTTAGTTGGGGCCCTCTGCATGGTCCTCACTCCTGTCTGCTGCCCGTTGGTGCAAAGCCCTCGTGCTGATGGCCCCGAGCAGCACATGGCACACGCCCTGAGGCTGTGAGGAAGCGCGGATGTCAGCGTTCTGAAGTTCTTGCCTGTTAGAGTTTATTCTCAACTGGTTGAGCTGTGGGAATTTGTTTTCCAGTGTTTGTAGCCATAAGGGTCTGTGTTAGAATAAGATATAATGGAACCAAGGATAAAGACTCTATCAAATAATCATGGTGTCGGGTTTATTGTGTGCAGAGCGTGGTGTGTGGGCCCTGGCCTTTCCCAGGTATGACGGAGCCTACAGCCTCCCCGAAAAAACTGTCAGGGCTGGTCCTTGGGAACACCGTGCTTCATGGTCTCCAGTTAAAAACATTTTCCCCAAAACTATTTACTCTGAATCTAGTGAAGCCTGTATACCTCACTACGTGTACAGGATGTACTAAAGGTAAAAGTAAAGTGACCCCGTGATGGGAAAACATCCACAGGGCAGGAGACCCTCTACAGATGACCTTCCTGGACTTGGGGCAGGGGCTTTTCTGAACGAAAGCAGTCAGGGCCTGAGCTGCCAAGAGTGGCCTGTTTAGGACACCAGTGATCGCCGCCCCCTCCCCAGCTGCCCCAGTCCCTACGGGTGTCAAAGCCCAGGCCTGGGCTACTGACTCCACCTCCCCATACCCTCCCTCCACCCTGATACAACAGCACGGAGGGGTCCATGGGTCCTGAGCGCCATCTGCTGGGCACAGTGGGGACTGTGCTGAGTCCTCTCCCTCCCTGGCGTAGAGGTCACGCTGTCCTTGGGCTGAGCCCTGGGAGGGGAGGTCTGCACCTTCATGGGTCCCCTGAGGGCTCTTCCAGAATCAGCTCGGTTCCCCAGTGTGAACTCCATGCCACTACTATATTCGAGTCTGCAGGAGCTGGTCTGGTCGTTCGGGCTCAAGTGGCTGGATTTTGTCCCTGGGCAGGATAGTGTCACATCTCACAGGAACTTCAGGAATTCAGGACTCGAACATCCTGGTAGGACCCTGAGCTGAGCCGCTGCGGCCTGTCCCTCCTGCTGCTGTGGGAGTAGCCAGGGACACCCCTGTTGCCCACCCGCCACAGCACCACCTGCCCCCAGGCTGCCTTTCTCAGACTTGCCCGTGACCAGTCTGATGGCGCAGTGCCCGGCGCTCTGGCGTCTTCTTCCCGAAGGCCTCCAAGCCGGGGCTCTGTGGCCCACCTGCTCGGGCCCCTCGGCCCTGTCTTGCCAGGTGCTCCCGCCTACTGCTCGTCACGCCTACCTCTGTCCAAGGTGGCACACGGAACCCCCCACTCCTCACAGCCCAGCATGGCCCACACCTTCTGGGGCCTCTCAGCCCCCCAGTTTCCTTCCACGCCCCCCTCAGCCTTTGCCTCTGTGCTTCTCTGCCCTCTGCCCCCAGACTACTCAGTCTCAGGACCACGCCTGCCCGGGACAGTTCGACACAGCGGCATCATCCCGCGCGGAGCTTTAACTGCCTCAGGTGCTGTCGTAGTCCAGTCCTGCCCCTGCGACAAAGCACTGGGGCCGGCAGTTTGTAGAGCACAGAGACGACTTCTCACAGTTCCGCCGGCCGGAGGTCCGGGATCGAGGTGCTGGCATTGGTGTCTGGGGAGGGCCGCCTTGCCGCGTCCTCACGCGGCAGAAGGTGGAGGGAAAGAGCAAGCGACGCCCACACCGCGAGCGTCTCCATCACCCCCTGAAGGCCCCGCCTCCCGGCATGATTGCACCGGCCGCACCTGAAGGAGACGTGGTCAAGCCGCTGCAAATGTCTCGGCCCTTGGGCAACACGTGAGGCGCTTCGGGGCTGAGTTCCGGCCTCGGTCGGTGCACTGTGCGCTGTCTGTCCCCGGCTGTCCCCACTCCGGAAGGGTGGCCTACGCCAGGGCTGACCTGGCCCCGCGTCTGCCGGCCCTCTGGCCGCACACACAGTCACGACCCAGACGGGAGCAGCTTGTGGGCACAGGTGAAGCCCAGCCCCGGCCCCTGGCAAGCCCAGGTCTGTGTGGCTCCTGCGAGGAGGGATCTCTCTCCTCACCTGCGGGGCTGCCAGCCGGGCTGGGGTGCAGAGCCAGGAGGGAGCGTGTGCTGGGGACGGCCCCGCCGCGTTTGGGGTGCAGGGACTTGGGGCGCACTGCGGGTGGGTGACGGCAGAGACAAAGCCGGCTTCGGACATTTGTCCGTGCTGGGCGGGGGTGGCCCTGCCCGGCTCTAATGAGGCGTGGCGACCTCCAGAAAAGAAAAAGAAAACTGGACCAACACGAGACATTTCGGAAAATCTAGCAGAATAAAAATTCCCCTCCAAGCAATTTAACAAACGTAGTTTGTCTGATGGGAAAACATCCAGGTGTTGTACCGATGAGCAAATGGCTTCTTTGGAGTTATTTCTATTCAAGAATGAAGGCTGGAGAGCGAGCCAGGACTGGGGCCTCCGCCGGGCGCATCCCTCCTGGGGAAGCAGCGCCCAGGACCCTGTGGGCCCCAGGCCCAGCCTGTGGGGTTCAGCAGGAATCTCAGTTCAGCCTCTGGAAGCTTCTACTCCTTCATTCGCGTTTGAGTCTCCAGGCTGCCTGAGGACATCCTTCAAGTCAAGAAATCGCAGTAAAACATGGATAGGACTTCAAAAGCTGCAGGAGAAAGACCACTGAGGCCACGGCCAGGCCACCGTGAGGACCGTTTGCAGACAGAGTCCTTTCATGGGCCCAGGCACCTCTGCCCTTCGTGGCAGGGCTGGCGGTGGCTCCGCAGGGTGGAGGCGGGGAAGGTCTCGGCGCGAGGCTGCCCCCGTCCGTGTCCACAGAGCTTGGATGCCGCAGAGCTGCGTCTCAAGGGCTGGGCGGTGCTGAAACACAACAGCCTCCCGGCCAAGCTGACGTGGACGGGAACCTCATGGGGGCAAGGCCCTGAGCACGCTGACCAGAGAGGGACAGGAGGGTGGCCTGGGCCTGCCGACGTGCCACTGCGTGTGCACAGCTCCTTCCACCCCCAACTGCCAGGTGGGATGCCGTGAGGCTCGCCTTGGTTGCGGGCCAGCTCGGCCGTCAGCCTGGCCTGGGTCTGGATGCCCCCGCGTACCCGACAGGTCTCCTGCCGGCAGAACCGGGCAGGTGTGGCACACAGGTGAGCACGACAGCTGGTTAACGCACCGTCTTTCGTGGCCTCTAGTCCCCGCTCACCAGGGTCCGGAATCTTGCGTGGGTCCCCTCCGGTTTCCCTCAGACCCACTTCGATACCAGGTATCGGGGTGGCGCCAGCCCGCACCCTCGGCCTCCCGCCCGGCCTCTGTCCCCTGCACCTCCCAGACGCCAACAGCACTCGCTGGGAGAAGCAGGTGAAGGCAAAAGTGTTTATTTGAGATTCTCTACAACACGCACGGAAAACATTAGATAAATAATTAAAATTCCGAGTCACTAAGTGCGTGGTTGCACAGTTGGTTCTCGCAGCAGCCGAGCGTTGGGACCGCAGTCGCCACGGTGAAGGCGTTTGCTCCCCAGTCTCACTGTCTGGCTCCACTTGAACACCTCGCGCTCCCACGGGATGGCTGGAGCCTGGGCAGGAACACGCGCCCGGCCCAGCGTCTCCTAGAGCCCCGGCCCCAGGGCGAGGGTTCCCAGCACGCGCCACGCGCCGTTTTCCTCGTGGGCAGGACTGAGCTCGAGTCCGCGGAGGCCAGGGGACCTCAGACAGACTGCGACAGACGGCCTCAAGCACGTTCTGGGAACAGAATCCCTTCGCACGCCACATTCCTCAGACGTGAAACCCAGGGCGGGAAATGAGCATGACCTCCAGAGTTCAGCCCCGACGCGGCCAGGGAGACGCGCCAGTGACGAGGACGGCGTCGCCATGGCCCTCAGCTCTGGCAGGCGCTAGGCCTTGTCCGGGGCAGCGGGCAGCTGTCTGATCTGCCGGCTGTGCACCTGCAGGGCGGCCCCCGCGGCCTGGCGGAGCTGGGAGTCCAGGGCTTCACGGAGGCCGTTCACCTGGACGTCAGGCAGGGGGTTGAAGCCGATGACCCCGTCCTCAGGGGCCAGCTCCCCCTCTGCACGCGGGGCAAGATCCCGCCGTCTCCGCCGAAGGTCGGAGCCAGCCTGCAGTTTCAGGTCTCGGTTGGGTTTGGCGTTGTCTGGTTTCTGAGCCCCGGGGACGAGTTTGGGCCCAGGCTCAGGGTCGGGCCTCTGTCTGGGACCCTGGACAGCAGCGTCCTCCCCGGCTCCCGGCTCCTCTCGGGGCATGTGGTCGCCACCGAGGGCCTCCTCTCCTGTCTCCAGGGGAGCGCCGTGGCCAAGCCGGTTGCCCTGCTGCCCGCCCCGAGCCCCGGCAGAGACAGCCTGTGGTTCCGGCTCACGTGGCACGGCTTGGAGCTGAGGGGCTGCTCCTTCCAACCTGCTGGGCAGGTCCGCTGCATGGCCCAGGTCTCGGTGTGTCTGCTTGGGCTTCACGTGAGGGTCCCCGGTCCCTCCTGGTGCTGCCACAAGCTGGTCAGCCCCCTTCCGAATACCGGCGCCAGCACCTGCTGCCTCCTCCCCAGGTTTCTTCTTTTCTTGGGAACCTCCACCAACAAGGTCCTGACTTTGCCTGAGAGACTCCTCAGGGGGCCGCTCCTCCAGGCTCCTGGGCACCCCGGCGGGCTCTAGGCCGGCCACTTGCTTCAGGCCCTTAGGGGGCAGCTCCCTCTCGACACTGGCCGCCATGGGCAGAGTGTCCTTCCGGCCTTCTCTCGGCTTGGCCTGGGCCGCCTGGGCTTCTGTGTCAGAGCCGCCGTCGGGGGGGCCCACAGGGTCTCTGCCCACGGCGCCCTGGGGCTCCTCCAGGGAGCGCTGTCCAGCCTCTTGTGGCGCAGCGGCGCGATCCCCAGGAGCTCTGAGCTCAGGCTCCAAAGGCTGTGGAGGCGGCTTCTCCACTGCCTCCCCCACCTGCCCATCGCGGGCCTCCTGACCTCTGGGCACGGCCGCCCCAGGCTCTGGCTGCACGTCCACTGCAAATGAAGTTGGTCACCGGTTCAGCCATGGAAACAGACCCAAACTACTGAGGGAGGGGCTGGAAGGGACAAACTTGCAGCAAGTGGGAATTACGGACCAAGACCTAAATCCACCCTCTAGGACTTTAGGCCACCAAACCTCAGATCCAGCCACACAAGGACACCAGGAGACGTCCCTCACCTGGTCCCACTCCCGTCCCCTCCGGGCCAGGACCTGGCTTGGCTCTGCCCCCTCGCCCAGCCTACCCTGCCTGGACTTGTCCTCCTCGTCCTCCTGCCTCTGCTGGTGGATCTCCTTGTGCTGCTCCTCGATCACCGCGAGCAGCTTCTCCTGCTGGTCCAGCAAGCGCTTCTGCTGCACCTGCTGCTCTTTGATCACCTGCAGCAGGACGGCGTGGTCCAGCATCTCCGCCCTGCCGGCTTCTGGCATTCGGAAAACACAGACACAATCAGAGGACACTGGGGGCTGCCGTGCGTGGCCAGGCTGAGGGTGGCTCGGCACGTGGCGGTGAGGACACCCAGATCCCCTGTAGGGAGTCTGCCCTGACAGCCCTCATTACCCGGAACACACGAGCACACCAACTAGCACAGCCCACCGCGGCCAGGGACCATGCTGCCTGCTTGGGCTCTCCACTGGCTACCGTACGGACACACCCAGCAGAGCCAGTGTCCACAGAAAAACCACACCGGAGGAACGTGCTGGAACGTCAGCGCTAGCTGTCTAGTCTGGGTGGGCTTCCCCCATTTTACACATTCAGTTGTTCTAGGTCAAACATGCAAAAAAATAAAAAGCTATAACCTGTTTTTTAAAAACTGTTAGTCCTTTTAGAAAGTTTCCTCCAAGGTGAGAATTTCAGAGTATGTAAGCTGGACTATCTCAGGCCCTGGCCAGCGGTGGTGACCGCTGCCCCTGGTCGCTGCCCGCCCCCCCCATGAGACTAGGGGCAGGTCCTGCTCCAGGGGAGCACGGAGCCCGCTTTCAACACACGCTTCAGCGCTGGGGCAGGATCTGCAGCGAGCAGCCATGGCTTGTGGGGTTTCCTACAACACGTATGGTTTTAAATTGGGAAGCTTCAGAAGACAATGGGTTAAGCATCAGGTGTAAAAGTTTAAATGGCAGCAAGAAGAATGTTTTGTGAGTAGTCACAGCAAATACCCCAGCGAGGCCCCTCGAGCCCAGCCAGGCCGACGTGCCGGCCCCGTGCCCAGCGGCGGCAACGTCAGTGTTCTCCTAAGAACGCAGCCCTGGGCCTTGCCCAGACCCCAGGAGGCAGGTGTAAGGACATGTGTGGGGGGGTGGACAAGCCAGGAGGACACTGGGACCAACCCCAAGGAGGACGGGGCCGAACCCAGAGAACAGGCTGACCCCTTAGAGGCTGGGGCCACCAGGCCAGCCTTGAGCAGCAGCCTCTGCTTCCCACCAGGTCCAGCCCCAGATGCCCGCCTGCAGGGATGGCCACGCCACGCAGAGCAGGTCCTGCAAACCTCCTTCTGGACAAGGAAGCTCAGGGCACTGTCCCCACTGGGCCACAGACCAGCCACATCTGCCATGGGCCACACTCTCCCCACAGTGTCTGCGAGTCTCAGCCACGTCATGGTCAGTGGTGCAAGGACAAGGCCCCACAAGCTGCTCATGCCCCCCCGTTCCCCGGGGGGGGGGTTCCAGAAGAGCAGGGGGAGGCAGAGGGAGGAGGGGCGGGGGGGCACCACAGCCACCCAGAAGCCACAGGGACAGATGTGAAACAGCATGGAGGCGACAGCTGTCTCCACAGCCATGGCCCACCGGGACCCTGGGGACAGGGCTGCAGTGGGATGGGGGCCGCGCACAAAGTGGGGCACGTGCAGGATGCGTCAGCGTTGGCCGCATGCACGGCGGGCACAGGCGGCCCACGCCCCCTCTCCCAGGCGGTGCCCGAAGCAGCCCGTGCTCACAGCTGCCACTCAGCTGCCCTCTGATGACAGCGGTGCCAAAGCAGGGCTGAGGGGACCAAGGCATTTGCAAAAAGGGGAGAGCAGGCGTCGGGGCCCCAAGGTGGGTGGCTGTGACTGAGCCAGGGGCGTGTGCCGGCCCGAGCACACATGCAGGGCCGATCCCGGGGCAGGGGTGAGGCCAAGCTGCTGGCCTCGCACCTGCGACCCTCCACAAACACACTTCCTACGTAAACACGTCCCTTCGATTCCTACCTGCCACTATCTTTTTAATCTCAGCTGTCCGTCCGGTGAGAGGCGTATGGGAGAAAGGCAGAATAGGAAACTGTGAAAGTCTCTTTTTAGGAAGAGAAAAAAATCAAAGAATCAAACAGGTTTAGGTAGCAGATCACAGCCACTGGAGCCAGTAAGTACAGCCAGACTAAAATTAGAGACAAAACAACGTGTGAAGACTCTTAAGGCAGCCCCTGAACTCCAGAAACCCGAAGTGTGTCTTTTCTTCTGCCATCGAAGCCTGGGCGTGCGAGGAGCCGCAGGAGGCTCTGTCTCGGCTGCGGCGCCCCGGGAGTGGCACAGGCCAGCCCGGCACCAGCCGTCCTGAGGCCCTGGGACCACTGAGACAGACGAATGGGAAGGAAGCCACGTGTCCTATGGACCTCGTGGGGCGTGTCTGAAGGCAAAGCCCACCCTGAGGCCGGAGGACCAGCTCCTAGGCTGGGCCTGGGAGAGCTGAGCAGCCGCTCGGCCCTGTGACCCACACTGACCACGATGCTGACGCACACAGACGCCGTGCGGGGCTGGCCCAGGTAGCCAGGCATCCTCAGGAAGCAGCAGGTGACACCTGGGGGCGGAGGCTCCCCCCCACACCCTCATGGGGCAGCTGGGGGCGCGGCACAAGCCTGTGGGGACGAGCGCTCCGCAGGCCTGGCTGCTGGGAGGGTTGCTGGCACCACCCCCGCGGAGGAAGTGCCGGCTCGGTGAGGCCTCGAGGAGGGACATAAGGAGCCGGCCACAGGGCCAACTCCAAAGGCAGGAGGGTTTGCAGGAGGAATCGAAGCACGTTTACTCTCGAGAGAAAAGGCAGGACGGGCTTTCCTGGCAGGACTTGTGACCACTGCGGACGCACAGGGTGCTCCCAGGGCGGGGGCACACCGTGAGGGACCAGGGCAGGCACGGCCACTCCCAGGCCGGGCCCCGGCAGAGCAAGCCTCAGAGCCAGTCAGCCCACACATCTGGGTGCGGGACGCCGCACACCTGGCTGGCTTTAAATACCACGAGTGTTAGAAATATTAACATACCTGCTTCGAGATGAAACGAAAATGATAATTACAAGCCACGTGACAGAGCGGCAGGTTTTTTTAGAGGAGAGAAAGGGAGAGAACGTTCCCAGGGAGGTGCCAGCAGGAAAGCGGTTAGCTGGAAGGGAGAGGGCGCTATCGAGGGCGTCTGCTCGGCAGACGGCCAGAACAAGGAGTGGGGCCGGGGAAAGGGTGTCCCCGGGACAGCCTGCCATTGCCCGGGGCTGGGGAAGGGGCTGCCGGCCCCAGGGCCTGAGATGGCAGCCAGGGCCTTACCCTCCAACTTGCTGCCCGCCTGGTCTCCGCCTGGTCGCTCTGCGTCCCTCTGCTCTCGAGCCTCTGGCAGCGGCCCAGCCCCGGGAGCCGGCTTCTCTTCCGGGCCGGCAGCCTTCCCACCTGTACACGGGGGAAGCTCAAGTTTTTGTGGAACGCCGCGAGGGGCCCAGAAGGAAGAGGAGGCACAAAAGGAGGCAGCAGATGTTTCTAAAACGACTCCATCGCCCCCCTCCCCCGTCAGCACAGTTTACGTTCAACCTGATGATTACCCGGGAAGTAATAAAAAAAATTTCACAATCTCATAGGCCTGTGGCAGGGAGCCAGCGTTAACTACCTTTGCCAATTAAAATGCAAGGCGCGTCCCAGCCAGCTCTCAGACGGGCACTTAACAATGTGCTACCTGTCAAGCCGCCCCCGTGCTCGCCCAGACACGAGAACAGCGTGGCACCTGACATTTAGTGGTCTGGCAGGCAGCGTGTGACAGATACGAGAGGAGCTGTCAGCCACCAGACTCCGGCTTTCCCACCAGCTGCCGAGGGGCTGCTCCTCTCACGTGCTAATCTTGTGGCGCGGGAGTCGGGGGTTGGGGGGGGCAGAGGTAAGAACCTTCTTAATTCCCGCTGTCCCTCCAACCCCCCACCCGGGCCCAGGCCGACACCCACCGAGCTCGCCGTCCCCCGCGGCATTGCCCGGCAGCGGCGCCCTGCCGGCCTTGTCCCCCGCGCCTGCTGCCTGGGCGTCCTGCTCCTCGGACACAGCTGCCTGGGGCCCCGGAGGCAGGTCCCGGTTGCCTGGCCCCAGGTCACCCTTCACTGGCTGGACATCTGGCTGGCCATCTGCTTCTGGAACCTTCTGGGGATCTTCATGAAGACCACCTGCTTCCTGGTCCTGCCCGGGCTTCTTCCCGACCTCTCCCTTCGCCGGCTCTCGCTCCTCTCTTTCTGAACCGGGCAGCGGCAGTGCCATCTGACCTTTGCTCCCCGGAGCCTTCTCGTCCGTGTGTCTGGACAGAGCCTTGTTCTCTGGGCCCTCCCGGTCTTGGCCTTCGTCTACCACCACCTCATCATGAGGAACGGGGGGCTCGTGGCGGTGGGCCTCGCCCACAGGGACGGCAACCCCTGGAAGGACAGGGGACAGGTGAGGAGGGGCCACAGGCCAACAGATGCCACCTCCCTCAGGGCTCTGCTGTCTGCCGGGCGCTGAACCATTACGAGGAAGGTTCGGTGGGAGCAGCTGCAGACAGGCGGCTCTGGCCTGGGGACGGAGAAGACAGAAGGACCAGAGCTTAGACGGGGCTGAGGGGAAAGGCGCAGCCCCAGACTCCCACCAGGGCTCGGCCGTGGCCCCTTGCCCCCCTGCCCCCAGTGCCAGGCCACCTTGACCGGGGCGGTCGAGCTGCGCCTCCTGCTGCGTGTCCTTGGCGTCCTCCCGCCCAGGCACCTCCACGGGGCCCTTGATCTGGGCCTGCTCCAGGTCCTCCCTCGGCTGCGGTGGCTTCGGCTCGTCACGGCTGTCCACGGCCGCTGCGGCAGGCGGTTCCTGGACTGTGGGCACAGCACCATGTCAGCTGCATAGCCCCGCACGGCCCCGTCCAGGCGCCGGCGCTCTCCCTGGGCTGTGGGCACATTTCTCAGCTTAACGGCACAGCCTAAGCAGTTATTTTTCTTCCTGTTCTATCGTTAGCAGCTAAGTACCACAGAAAACTGTCATTTTTCATGTGTACTCATAACAAAAACATGTCAAAATGCAATTTACACCTAACTGGGGGCAGGAAGACCCGGACTCCATGCAGCCCTCAGCCGTCACCACCAGATGGCAGCAAAAACCCGTGACTGACCGTCCATAGCGTCCCACCCCTCACCCATCCCTCTGCAAGGCTGGGGGAGGAGAGGCCCGTGGCTTTAAGGAAACCGGCGCCGGGAATGCTACTTCTGCAATCTTGTCAGCCTCTGACTGCGGATGAGGAAGGCTCACGTGGAAGCGAAAAAGAGAAAAAAAGGAAAGCCTGGCCCAGGTGCGGTGGCTCCTGCTTGTAATCCTCGCAAGCCTATAATCCCCGTGCTCCGCAAGGCTGAGGCTGGAGGATCGCTTGAGCTCCAGGTTCGAGACCAGCATAAGCAAAAGTAAGACCCTGTCTCTACTAAAAATACAAAAATTAGCCGGGCACGGTAGCTCATGCCTCTAGTCCCTGCTACTTGGGAAGCTGAAGCAGGAGGATCACTTGAGGCCAGGAATTGGAGGCTGCAGTGAGCTATGATGGTGTCACTGCACTCAGCACTGGTGACAGGGCAAGACCTTGGCTTGGGAAATATAAAAGGAAACCCTGCCAAACCTGCAGCCTTCACCCCTTCTGCAAGAGCCCCATGATCTGTGACTCAGCAGATCCCAGCTGGGAGAGCCACACAGCAGTGGTGGGTCCGCAGAACCGGTCCACATGCCACCGGTTGGGAAACGACGTCCAATCCAAAAAGCCACTTTCGATGTGTTAGGAAACACAGCAGAAATCAAAGAACAAGCGAAGGGGAAAAACTCTGGAAACAAGCCTCACGGCATCCCAGAGGCCCAAAGCAGCTCTGTGCCCACCTTGGGGTAGGCGCTGCCCAGGAAAGAGGAGAGGAGAGGACAGCGCCCTGCAAGGCCACGTGTGCGCCAAGGCGGGCACTGCAGACCCCCGGCCGAGGGCAGTACCCGGGGGTCCACACAGTCCTGTGCAGAGGGGCCTGGGCGGGTCCCACAACCTCCCACAGGGGAGGGAAACAGGAACGTTTCCTGAGCAGCACAGTAGCCTCATGAGACCCGCCTGACGTCTTGTCCAGGGAGGCAGAACGACACGTGCAGAGGCTGCGCCACTGCCTCCTGGAGCAGAGAGTCTCAAACTCACGGGGGGGTGGGGAGAAGGAAGGCGCCGCCCTGCTGGGGCCAGACCAGCCCACAGAAAGCAGACACTGGACTCTACAGCTGAGCCAAGGGGCGGATTCAGCAAGCGTGTGGCCACCCACCACGCGGGTGAGACGTGCTGGTCTCCATCACGGACCCAAGCCCCCGCCCCGGCAGAGGCCCCCGTGGGAACAAGCAGCACCACGAGTCCAGAGGGTCTGTCTCGTGGATCATAGAGTGGAGAGAGGGAGGCTAGAGCTAGGAAGGAAACCCAGCAAAGGAACATCTCGTCCTGACACAGGACAAGGTGCCTCTGCACAGCTGTTTTCTCGGCAGGAAACAGAACCCGGCTCAACACAAGACGCGGCCCACTCTCCAGCCGGGAGGAGCTCCGTGGGGTTCCTGGGAGCGACCCTGCACAGGACTGGGAGTGGCTGCAGCACGCGTGCAGCTGTTTCGCAGGTCCCTTTGGAAAACCTTCCCGGAATGCCGCGCCTCCGAGCGTCCTGCCCGCGCACTGGGCTCGCAGCTGGGAGGGGGGGCGGGGGAGGCGGCGCCACCCAGCCCTTCGCAGCTGTCCGCAGGCCGGACACAGCCTTTTCTAAAATGGAGCTAGACTTTTCAGCGGCGACAGCGTGCCAGCAGACCCTCTTGGCCACAGTAAAATTAACGCAAAACTTCAAAATTAGCAACTGAAAAACACCCCGTGTCTGCCAGGCCTGGGCTGCAGCAAAGGTAGGAAGTGCCCGTGTGGTGACCAGGCTACCAGGAGGGAGGAGAACTCTGGTGTCCAAATTTCTTCTCTTAGGAGGTGGGCGACAAAACCAACTGCCCCCCAGCGGGGACAGGCCTCCGTGGGGGCAGGTGAGGGCCCTGCCCTGTCCAGGCGTAGGGCCCTGGGCCCACCGAGCACCAGCCACCCTGGCCAACCTTGCTCTGCTCCAGTGCTACCGCCAGTCACCAGACAGCACGGCCCGCCAGAACCACTGGCACCCGGACCAGGAAAATTCCATGTTTACGCCGTATCCTAGCAGCTCCTCACTGCCAGGCGTTGGCGCAGGTTGTCGGCTCCTCCCACACGCAGAAATGTGCCAACGTGGTGACACGTGACGGCCCACCTCCCCAGATGCTTCCCGCACAGCAGATGGAGGCCTGGACTCAGTGGCCATGGGAGACCTTCCTCTCCTTCCCGCTGCCCGGCGGGGGCCCAGGGGCCCAGGCCATGGCTCAGGGCTCTGTCCTTGGATCAGACACCCTCAGGGACTTGCAGTGTGACCCAGGGTCACAGTCCTCCTTCTTGGAAGGGGAAGAGGCAACATCCAACACAGCCCCCTGACCGCCACGTTCAAGGCCGGCGTCCACCTTGGAGGCCAGCATAGGAGGCCAGGAGGTGGGTGGGCGCCTCCGTGTGTCCCCCAGCTGCGGTGCGTCCACAGGGCAGCTCTGCTGCCTGCTGGCTTTGACCCATAGCTCTCGGCACACTCATCAGTGAGATGGAAACGGCCAGCTCAGACCGCCAAATGAAACGATTTTTAAACATTATCCCAGCATCCCACTGATAGAATTCTGGAGACCCAGGACCCCGGGGCTGTAAACTCAAGAAGCGAGCAGAATGGCCACCCGGCCAGGCACGGTGGCCAGCGCCCGTGATCCCAGCTATTCAGGAGGCCAGGAGCTCAAGACCAGTCTGGGCAACACAGTGAGCCCCTGTCTCACAGAAAGTAAAAGTAAAATGGCCTTTTAAAAAGGTACTTTCTAAAGCTAGTCCCTGCTTTTAAGTGACTTTCCTACTCACTGACTTCTGACCTTCCCTTGGCGTTGGCACAAGGAAGGTGTCACTCACCAAAGGCTACATTTTAAACCCAAACCTGGACTTGCTAGCAGATGGCCTTGCTGTCCCGTCTTTCCAGACGGAGGGGAGTCCCAGTGGCCGAGGTCGCCCGGCTCCCGGCACCCGAGTGCTGCCCAGGGGCACATGCCCGGCCCCACACACGTCCCGCAGGCGGAGGCTGCTCCAGAGAACCTGCTCGCGCCCTGCAAGCAGGAGGAGGGGAGGCTCCTGGACCCTTGGACAGAGTGCCAAGATGCTCGCCAAAGCGCCACACGCTGCCCCTCCTCTCAGCTGTGCGGACAGCCCTCCTGCGCCCTGCTGGGAAGGCTTCCAGCCACTCCTTTGCTGTGCCCCGCATGCCTTTCCTCCCATTGTCACTTCCGCCCAGTCTTTCTGCTGGCTTCTCAGGAGAAGGTGGTAAGCTGACTTTGCCGCCAGCCCTGCAGGACGTGGCTGGATGCAGAAGGGGTCCCCTGGGGGGCAGGACGGCCCCTGCCCTGTGTCCAGCCGTGTGCGCCCGCTCCAGCCTTAGCGCAGACACTCGGCCACTTCTGCCCCGGCATCCACATGTGACATGTCCCCGTCCAGCACGCCCCATCCTGCGTCGCTGCAGCCTAGGCCCCTGGCCTGTTTTCCCACCATGCAGGGGGAATGGGGACAAGCTGCCTAGCAGGGCACGGCACGGGACACGAAGGCACCGGGAGGAACCCACCATCTGAGAAGGGACAAAATGCCACAAAACCCGCCCCAGGTCCTCCGGGGTGCTGCGGAGCACAGACGCAAATGGCCTAACTAGCCCTCCTTCAGTGGGTAACTGTCGTCAGAACCCTTCACAGGGACTCAGCCACACTCGTGACGGCTGTACCTGGCGCCCAGCTTCGAGTGCCAGGTACGGCATCCCCCAAGAGGGCAGGGCTTGCACCCAAGTGGGCAGGTACCGTGTTTGGCCTCCGCAACATCAAAGAGACCCATAAAACCGGCTCACACGCCGACAGCAGTCTGAGGGGCACACGGCGAGGGCCGCGTCCCCGGCGCTGCCTGAGCGAGGCAGCCCGTCAGTCCGGCGGGAGGCCGGGGGCTGGAAGATTGGAGAACATGCTGAAAACAAACAGCATGTGGCTCTGAGAGGGGCCATGTGTTCTGTTACAGCCTCACGCAAGAAACAGAAACCAGATGTGGCCTTGGAGGGCACCAGGTGAGCGGCGGCCTGTGCGAGCCTCAGTGACAGGACGCAGCTGCCCGGCCAGCGAGGGCTGGGGGCCGCGCAGCCACAGGGACGGGGAGCTGGGTGCTGACTGACGCCCAGAAGCGCCTACGGGACGGAACCTGCGGCGGCAGCTCTGTGCGGGGCGGCCCCAGCACTCGGCCTCCAGCTCGCAGAACACCGCGGTGCCACCCTCACCCCGACTCCTCTCTCCCTCCCACCTACGCTTCCACGTCAGCCCACCCTGCGCCCGTCAGCCCTAACAAGGACATCAAATCCGCCCTCCCCGGCCGGGCTGAACCTGGCGCCATCACCTGAGAGGACATACAACATCCATGTCCCTCCCTCTTCCAGTGGATGTTTCCAGTCCAGATCACCTAATCTGATGCAGGGCAGCACCAGACACCTGTGATTTCTGAACAAGCCTTTGTCTCTCCAGCGACCCTGGCGGTCCACAGGCGTCTGCCCTGCAGCCTCTCCTGCTCCTCAGACCCACTGGCCCAGAGCGGAGCCGCTTCTCAGCCCCCTCCCGTCCCAGGAGGGCAGAAGACAGCGGCTCAGCTCCTCCGGCTCAGCCCTAGGGAGGGCTTCCCTGAGGGCAGCGTGTCCCAGGTGCTAAGGCTGAGGAATGCTGGGCCCGGAACAGAGCCCACGACAAGCCCCAGAGCCACTGTGCCGAACTGTGGGGCTCCCTTCCATGGGAGATTTTTTTCTGTCCACTGTAGAAGGAAAGCTGGGAGCACCCACCTGCCCCAGCCACGATGGGGCGGCACTCAGATGGACGCCTGGTGAATCCAGCCCTGAGCCGGGGGCCTCTGCAGGGCGCGAGCGGAATGTGCGCAGACGCCCCAGCAGTGTGGACGCGTGGACCCCAGCCCCCATCGGGGAAACACCCGAGGGCACGTGTCACTGCAGACAACACCACCCACCAGCACCCAAGCTGCTCAGAGCTGCTGGGTAGGCGTGGGCTGGGCGCTGCTGCCTTCTGTGGCCCCCATCGAGGCCCGGGAGGGCCGGGGCATATCAGCCACTCCAGACAACACGGGAGGCAGCCGCACCACAGACAGTGCCTGCACTGCCCATGGGACGCAGCCACAGGTGGGGTGACGAGGTCACGCAGCACCGGCAGGCCCTTTCTGAGGTGCCTGCGGCTACGTGGGGGCGTGGGGGCTGCAACTGCACCCACAGGCCTGGTGAACAACCGTAAACAACCGACGAGGTAAACAGGCTGGGGTGTCATTGATGGCTCTGCCACAAGAGAAACCCGGCTGGAAATCTGCCTCCTTGAAGCAAAGCAAACGGCTGCGAGCAGCACCCACATGCACACACCTCTCAGCGTACCAAGTGGCAGGCCCTGACACCTCTGGCCCTCGTCCCCTGCACACGGTGGCTGCACCCCGGCCCCTCTACACACACAGCATCTCTACCCACGAGCCTGGTGGGTCCCACGCCCAGGCCTCCTCCCCTGCTGCCCCCACCCAGGACCTTAGCTGCTGAGCAGATGAACAAAGTCCTCACACCAGAGCCAGAGTCTGCATAGCGCCACCCACACGCTCTTGACAGGAGGTGACCTGTGGACACAGCCCTGAGAAGGCTCGGGGCTGGGGCCTGTGCCCACACCAAGGGCCACAGGTCCGAGAGCCACATATCCAAGAGCCACGTACCTGAGAGCCACGTACCTGAGAGCCGGGCCACCTCCGCCTTCATCAAACCCTCAGCCTCTCCAGCCCGGACACCAGGGGCTTCCTGTGCCACGTCCATGGGGGTGTCCTCACTCACGGACAGGGTGGTGAGGGTGCTGACCACCAGGACGCCCAGGCCAACCCAGAGCACCACCTGGAGGGACAGAGACCCGGAGCACAGGAGTCACACCACCCCTGCACCTGCCCGAGCAGTGGGGACTGGCGTGGCAGGGGCCCCGGGGTCGGGGCACAGGCAGGCACCAGAGGGCCACCCAAGAGGGCAGCGCAGGCGTGCAGGCAGCCCAAGACAGGACTGGGCCCTGAGGCACCGCAGCTCCCCAGGGCGGCCGGGCAGGCACCTGTCAGAGGGAGGCTGCGGGAGCCACGTGGCCATAGGGGAGGGGCGGGCAGGAGGGGCTGTGTCTTCCAGGAGTCTCGGGACATGGAGGCAGAGGCCCCAGCCCCCCATCCAGCTTGTGGGAGAGTGCAGGTCCCTCGGCCAGGGAGCGGGTGGGGGAGGACTTGGCCCTCGCCTCTCTCCGGCTGCGGCGTGGGCGCCCGTCAGGTCACCTGGCGAGCCGCCTGGAGGCTCGGCTGATTTTCCAGGGGCTCTTCCCACTGGACTCAGCCCCTCCTGGTGGAGGCCCTCACGGTGGACAGTGACTGCCGCCCTCGCAGACCTTCGTCCCCGCCCACAGCTCCTGCTGCTCTAGAACATGCCTGCTGAGCCCACTCCCTCCTGCCCTGCCACGCCGCAGCTAAGCGGACGCTGCTATTTCTGCCCGGCCCGGCCCCCCGCTCTCCCTGGGGAGCATCGACTCCCGGCTCGGCAGAGCCCTGCAAGAGCAGAGCCGCCAGGTGGCTTCCCACAGAGCCAGCGGGACCCTTGTCACTCCACCCACGTGGTCTCAGAGCCTGGACTCAAAATCCTTTCCTGAAAGGTATGTTGACTCTTTAAATAAAAAAAAAAAAAAAAAAAAAAAAAACCATTTCAAAAGAACTGGTGAGACTTTCCTGGGCCCAACACAATTACGGAAGATGTCTCCACAGGAGAGAGCACTCGCTCTCTGAAAACAAACCACTGCGGGGAGAAGCCCATTTCCTTCTCTGCCACCCAGGAACACGCAGCAGGTTCCGGCTGTCGGAAGCTCAGTGCCGCGACACTCGGGTCAGCCGGCTCCGGTGCTGGGAGGCAGCCACGGTGCACCCGTGGACGTGGGGCCCCTCTGGCAGCAGTCACGGCTGGCCAGAGCGTCAGGTGACAGCAGGATGGCCAACTGCACGTGGGGCGCTGAGACCTGCAGGCTGTGTGGCACACGGAGCTGAGGGCCAAGGGCCCCCGCTGCTCCCCTCAACGTCTGCGGATGCCGTCTTCAGCTCTGCGCCCAAGACAGCTCGTCACACTCTCCTCGCCATGAAGGCACATTCCCGGAGCAGTGACGCTGTCTCTAAGGCAACCAGGGGAGTCTCAAGAAAAAGGAAGGAACATCACATCTCCCACGCCCCTCAGCCCCTCGTGGGGGTGCAGGAAAAGCCCGCACAGCAGCAGGAGGCAGGACGGGGCGCTGGGGACGCCGAGGGAACGCCGTCAGAGGCCAGCCGAGGGCTCTAAGCCTCGTGACCATCCTCAGCCAGAGCCGCCCTGGGCTCGGGCCGCGTGTTCTGCTCTCCCTGATGGAGCTGAGACCAGGCGCGAGCGCCGTGGGGGAAGGTCCAGGTGGACAGGTGGTCCGCCCCACCAAAGACACCCAGACAGGAGACTCTGCTGTCTGGAAGGCCCGGGCAGCACGTCTCAGTGTGGGCACCCAGCCCTGCAGGGCGGCCAAGCCACCGTCCCGGGCTGATCCCTTTAACCAGGCGGATCTGCAGGTACGCGCCTGCACCCTGCACTTCTGCAGCCGGCGGCAGGAAGGAGCCCGCCGCGAAGCAACAGGAAAAATTTATCTCCCGTTTGGACGTCGCGAGACACCCGCTGGGTAGCTGCGAGGCCTTGCCAAGACACTTAATCGGGAAAAGCCAGCAGGTCAGGGAAGGAGAGAGCTCCAGGATGGGGATGAGGACGGAGCCCAGGTGGGATGGCTGGGTCCCCAGAGTACAGCCAAAGCTGTCCCCTCCCGGCCCTGAGGGCCGTCTCTACCACGCTTCCAACCCAGAGACAAAGACATCTGCTCGGTCATTTTATGTCAGGTTATTTTCAACAGGGACCTCACTTGACATTCCCATGGAGACTGACGGGCCAAAGGCAACATTTCATCCATGACTTTGAATGATTTATTTCAACCCTCAGCTTTCTCAGCTTAAAAAAAAGAGCACATGCAAAATAAAAAACACTAACTCCGTCAACACTGGGAGGCACCAAGCTTCTCCCAAAAGACCCATGGCCTCATCTGCCTTGGAAACCACACGAGGGCTCTAAGGAAATGGCAGAAAGCACTCAACTGAGAAAGGACTTCTAACCACGACGCCCCAAGCAGGGCTCGGATGGCAGGCTGGGATGAGGTCAGCAGAGAGTGCCCCCGGCCTTCCAGGGCAGCGGCTGGGAAGACACCTGGGAAAGAAACCCACCAGCCCAGAGTCCAAGAAGGTCTTGACTACAGAGAAGCATGAAGCAAGCTCCAGCTAGAAAGAGGGCCTGCGCCGCAGCGCCAGGGGGGGCACAAGGTGGGGAACACGCCCCAGACGCCGGACAGGGCAGCGCCGGGAAACAAGCCCAGCTCCGTCCACCCCATGGCACGCACATACCTGCTGCCACCTCCCACCTGTGGCACCCAAGTCCCTGCTCGGAGGGGAGAGCCGTCCTCAGGCTCAGCCTCCACGTCAGGCCTCGGGGCACATGCTACACAGAGACCAGCCCCCTGCGTGAGACCAGACCTGAATGCTGTGACAACAGCGACCCCCCGGGCCACTCCCACCTGGCTGGAAGTCTCCACCCCTGCTTTGCTGAGACCCCACCCTGCCGACTGCTGCCCAGCGGAGCCCCCACAGCTGAGAGTCCGGGTTCACATCCTCACCCCTCCTTCTCAGGAGACACCATGGGCCCGTGAAAACCCCAGGCAGGGGACCAGGAACAGGCATTCGTGACAGTGCCCCGGGCCCCGCCTGCTCCATGGCTGTGCCTGGGGTGCACAGTACCACCTGCACGTGCAGACACGAGGCATCTGCAGGCACCACAGTCTACGAGGACAAGGTGACAGGCCAGGGGTCCCTGGTTCCTGTCCTGCCGCAGGAGCGCGGGGGCCCAACCATGGAATGCGGGGCGTGTACGGGGCCCTGCTCTCGGGGCTCGCCGGTTCTCCCGGCGTCCGGCATAAGGACGCACGTCCAGCCTGCACTCTAATGGGAGCCTGGATGGGACAGACCTTTGGGGAGCCCACCGAGAGCACAGCCGCACAGCTAGGGAGCCTGACACATCCCCCAGCCTTCCGGTGCAGCGTCCTGCACGGCGAGGAACTGCCTTTGAGGCAGAGCCAGGTTGATGAACGGGATCCGCTATGCCAGACCCGCGATCTCACCGCGCCTGTGATGTCGGAGCGCCCGTGACTGACAGCCGCAGAGCCAGCTGGAGGAGGGACGCAAATCAACCAGGCGTCTCAGCCCAGGCAGGAGAATCCAGGGGCTTGGCTGGGGGCCACATGCCACACGGCACCCAGAGTACCCCTCTCCGGAGGGTCCGGAGGCCTCCAGATCTTCAAGAGGTCCCTGAGTCAAAACAGAGAAGAGCACTGGGTGGGGGTAAAAGTCCACGCCACCTGGGGAGGACACGCGCGCCAAGTTCTGCCCTCTAGTGATGGGACACACAATGGGGGACAGTGGCTCACGCGGTCTCGTGGTGGCCTGGCCAGCGTCTGGGAGCCTCTGAGGACCTCGGGGCGCACCTGCGATCCAGGCCGAGGGACACCCCCACTGGTTCCCGCCGCAGGCCGAGGCGGCGTTACCTGCTCGTGCCTCTCCCAGAGCAGAGGGCTCCTCCAGGCCGCTGCCCTCCGGGCCCTGGGACCGGCCTCGCTGCCACCGTCTCGCCTCCCGCGCCCTCGTCTCCCGCGCCCGCCCACCACTCCAGCCCCCGCCGGCTTCGGGGTGTGGAACCAAAGCCCCAGCTCCTCAGGGTTGGCGAGACCCTTTGATTGCTCCCATTTTCAAAATGAAGAATGGACCACACAGTGGCAGATGTTTCTTTTTGATTCACTCCGGGTCAATTTTGCTTTCATGTTCCCTGGTTGTTCTTCTGGGGATGTGTCTCAGAACATTTCTTCTTTTATGTCTTTTTCCAGCACAGCCCAAATGGCCCCCACACAGGCCCCCCGTCACCAGCTTTGGCTCTTCTTGAGGTCCCTAGGCCAGGAAACCACCACCCTGCTGTGAGCACTCAGATCCGGGCCACGCCCGCACCTCGGCTGGTCTATGTGCACCGCACCCAGCCAGTCATGCGGCTCGCTGTGTCCTGGCTGCGTGAGGCGGGGCCTCCAGGCGCAGTCCGTGACTCGCTGGACGCGATGTCAGAAGGAGAGGTTGGGCCGCCTCCCCCACACGCAGGCGGGCCATGGTTGACACAGTCAGCGCCTTCCAGCTCTTCCCCAGAAGCGAGGCAGGCCAGGGGGCCGCTTCTGTAATGCAAGCCTATGTGGGCTTCTGCCCGCGTGTGCAAGGAGGTGCAAACGCACCCTGATTCCTGCGCGTTGCGCCGGGGCAACGCCAGGCTGACGGCTAAGCACCGGATGCCACCCACGCTGACACTGCCACGGCCACAGGCGCAGGAGGACACAGGGACAAGAGAGGAGGAGAAACCGTGATGACAGGAAAGGCAGAAGGCAAAGCTGCAGGTGACAGAACCAAGAGATCCAGTAAGAGTTCAGTAAGGTGAACGGGTAAGAATTAATGTTAACATGGGAACACCGAGAGCTTCGCTGTGCACAAAGAGCGGCTGGAAAACCCAGGGCAGCAGGGGTCCCAGCAGAGACGGCCGCGGGGACAGAGGCCCGGCGAGAAGGAGGAACTGAGCGCCCCACCCCACGGCGCGCAGGAGAGCCTGCGACACATGTCATACGCCGGCCAAGGTGCAGAGATAGCGAATCTTCCTGAACTAAGCTACAGCTTCAACACATTCCAATTAGCCCAAAAAATAAAAAGCAGGACTGTCTTTTGTTGGAGCCAGAT